CTCGCGAGTCAACGAGTGTATTTTTTTTTCCTAACTGTTATAAGAAAATATTGGGCGATCAAATATGAGGGTACAAATGACTGTTGCGTGACTTTCTCTCGTTAATTCTCGTTCCGCTCGGATGTTCCTACGATGCACAACATTCTCAGGCGTTGCTAAGACACGTACCTCGCAACACATTCTAATACTATTAAAATACGTACTTTGTTTCTTCGACAAATCTGAAAGTAAATGTAGCGCGAGTAGTTGCTGACGCAAGCATCACTTCATGCATTTCAGAATTGTAAAAAATTGGGAAAAAAGTCTACTATTAATTAACTGGAAATTACGATGAATTGAAATTCACTGATAAAATTGGCTTTAATATTCACTCGACGTGTCGTAGCAGCAACGTGAGCAAACTTTCCATCATTGTCGCGCACACTCGTGAGAAGTTGTGATTCCAAGAGGAGCATATTGATATTGTATAAGTAGCATAGCGATTTGGTCTAACTGTAAACGCGTAATCACAGTCGTACAGCCATTTGCTACCTCGTATTTTTCACAAACAAGCCTGAACTCGGATCACGCGTAAGCTCGCATTGGCCATCATTCCGACAAGTCAATGGATATAATTGAGAAATATCGTAATCATGATGCCGTAATGTTCCGTAATTGACTAAGAGACGATGCGGTTGAGATAGAATTACAAAGAACTGATCTATGAGATAATTTTGAGACACCTCGAAGAGTCGATAACAATTTGTTTCGAGGATTACACAGATTGTATAATGATCATAATAATATGAGTCACAGCGGATTACAATCTTACTGATAAATCTTACTTGATAAAATCGGTTCTTGCGTCGGAACAACGAGGAATGTCCGAAAAACAATTCTTCGCGGACATTGAGCAAACGTTTTTTCTTTGTTTTCCCTTCTATTTTTTTTTTGGTTGCAAACAAGAACACACATCTCGCTATACGAATAAACGAAGAGAGATTTTCTTTTCTCGCGATACCTCTAATGTCAGGGGGATATCCAGCCATGCCACTATCAAAATAACAAATGCAGTAATCGTTATATCAAAAATTACGAGTGATTAAAGGACGACACAGGTCTATAGCAAGTACCTTTAGTTACAAATCGTGATATAAATGTTCAGCAAATTTTTCCTTTAGATATTACAATTCTTGTTTTTTTTACGCAATTTATTATTACAATATTCTAGTGATTATGTGTATGTTTTTTTTCCCTTCGTCCGAACCGTGCCGATAATTCCTCCCCGAAACGCTGTCGAAATCCGCCCGCTTGCCTGATCGCCGCAAATTACGCAAAGTGCGATGGGCGCTCTATCGCAATATTTTTTTTTTTTTAACTAGTGCACAAACAAACGCAATTACAATTGTGGTCCGACCTACTTTGTCCGACGCAGCGGGGGAGGGCGGGGGGGAACCATTCGCACGGGACCGGAGCGTATAACGTTTGTAATTGGTATTATTATTATAACTTGTCAAAAATATAGTGTTCAATTTAATTCACCCTATTGTTGGTTTTCTTTGTGCAGTTATCGAAGTTACAAACACAGGTTGTTGAATGCGCCACCCAGCAAATTCCGAAAGGCGCACTCGCAAAAGCCCATTTCGGCAGGATTTTGAGACTTAGTTCCAAAACGCGGTTTTGGAATTAAAGACCCAACATCTGTCGGGAAGGTGGGGGGGCAGCGGACACTCTGCCTGAAACATTCAGCGATATAACTCGGCGTTCAAAATTTGGAACAACTTTGCTTGCTCGATATAAACCTTTCGTTAATCGACACGTCTCTTTATTTCTACGACGGTGAGAACCAATTGTCCATTAAATTGTTCCGATCAAACGTTTGATTTCTAGAGTACGACAGATAATGAATCGAGCGATATAACACGATGGGCACGTCGTCAAAATGCTCCAAAATGCGCGAGGATTACTATTCTGGATGAAACCAACAACGGGGACCGGTAGTATATAAATATTCAACTGTATGCTTTCTTTGTTACACGATAATATTAGCTAATCATCCACTTTGTTAATCTCCCCTATTACTCTATTTTGTAGCTAAATTTGTTGCTTTCACAATAATTTATGTTCTTAATATATTTTATTTATTTTTAATTGTGTTACTTTTTTTTAATTATTATAGAAGTAAAATAGTACAATATATTGTAATTGTTTGTAATTATTCGATATAACCCTATTATTCAGGAATATCATTTCTAAACGTTTTTCTCCCGTTATTAAACGTTAACGCGATCGCAACTTTCCTCCGGATTATTCAAAAATAAAGAAAATAAAAAGATTCCCTCGCATTTCTCCGTATACAAAGAATATTGATTATGACCCGGATATGATCCCATTGTTTGTAACGTTTGTTGCCTTAAAATACAAGTGCTGCGGAAGGAAGAGTTCGATCGCGGAATAGTCATTGAAGAAAAGAAAATCGCATTCTTTACAAGTACGTCTTTTCCCAACGATTTCAACAATTTGAATTACGACTATTTATTATACGTCAATTATTGTAGACTCGTAGATCCCAATAGCAATTTTGAGAATTTGTGTTTTCTATTACCGTGGCGGCACCAGCCACGTAAAAATCGAAACGTTCCAAGTAGTGCGCTAATTGCTCGGTAATTTACTCTCGTTTAAACAAATAAATTTACATTCAATAAATTTAGATTTAGATTTGCATGCACACATTTAATGGTGCCTTAAGTGAGAAAAGATGCAAGATAAATAAATATCTCGATATTACACATCCGTAACATTCTCGTACTTATAAAGAATGCGTTTGAATAAACGCAAGAAAAAAAATGCATTATTATAATGTTTCCTCTCTTAAATCCTAAATAGTTCTTTGAATATGGTGTTATGGTATATGCGGCCTCTAAGAAAATTAAAACATGTCTATTTATCAGGTGAGATTTCTCTCTCTCTCTCTCTTTCTCTCTCTTACGAGACCACGGTTATATCGATCAGAAGAGTTGAAAAGAAGAAATGGAAAAAAAATGGATATACTGTCTAAATATTAAAAATGTCGATAATCAAAAAAAAAATGAATCTTTTATTATTCTAAAATTGCTTCTTATATATCCACAATCTAATTAAGAATGTAAAGCACATCAAAGAAAAGATTTATTTCAATAATTCTTATGTATTTCCTACGTTAACATTCTCTATTGTAGCATAATTCTTTTAAAAAACGAGCAATCTTTAGACCATATATACCATAATAGAGAAAATTGTAATTCTTTTTCATTTTTAAATAACATCTAGTATACTTTAATATTAATAAAAAACTGACGTAATAAAAAATATTTATTTTTTGGCCTCACTTATTATTTTTTTGACACTAAACTATATGAAAGTAATTGAAAGAATGTGAAAAAGAAAAATAAACGAGAAAGCAAGAAAACAATAACAACTAGAGCGTTGTTGCGAATGTTAAAGAAATTTCACAATTAAGTAAATGTCTGCTACAATACCCCTTTGTGTTATAGATAATTAAAAAAAAAAAATTCTCGATTAGATCTCTCGGAAGATTAATCCTGTGTAAACTGGTAAATGTCTTACAAGTCGTGTAAAAAGTGTTAATAGATGTTTTTTTGTGCGGGGTATATTAAACTTCACGTTTAATAATAATTTCATTAATTCTCGAAATAGTAATTTTATATATAATATATATGTATATTAAATAAAAGTAGTCTTTAAAATTGATTATTGTAACATTTCATGTCTATACGAGGAAAAAATTTGATAATGCTTGTCCTATCTATCCTATAATCGTTTATAATCTTAGGCAATATATATATATATTTCTCATCATGAGTGTATAGTCATTTTTTTCTTTATCATTGAGTTTTAACAACTACATCTTTTTAAAATGAATATACGCATAGAGCCGGGTAGTACATTTAGACGTGCCTTCACATCCGCACGTCCCAATTAGCATACTTCCAGCATGCCACTGAACTGTAACACGTATGTCACGTTTGACTTGTGTATGCATTATATTTTTATAATATATATATATATTTATTCATATGAGTTATTATTATTTTTTTTGATTAAATTGAAAAATCCTAAGTATCTCTAACATCCTTACATCCTACAATTGTAAAAGCCTACAACACGAAATGAGGGTAATTGGTTCAGTAATCTAATTGAATAATTGATTGAAGATTAATCTTCTTCGTTACTATCACACGCTATTTTAATTTAAATGTTCCTCTAATAACTCCGTTCGCAAATACTAGTACACAATTAAGCATATTGTAAGACTTAAAAAGTGGATATCGTGTTACAGAAAGTAACGCGCGAAACATGTAGAAGCCACATTACGGAACGCAAGAAAGCAAACGTATTTGTTTTCTTTTTTTTTTAATGTAAAATTGTTGAAAGTATTGATGTCATTGTAAACTTCGATGTGTCCGAAGTGTTTCTCCAATAAACTGTTTAATCGTTATTACCTAATGAACGTGACTAAAAGGCGGAACAAATAGAAAAAGGAAAGAGAAGAAATAAGCGGTAGTAACATCGATAGATAAAAAAAACGAGAAACAAGTGATATATAATACCTTTTATATAATAAAATTGTTTTAGCGCTATCTATTTCGGTTGTTTTGTAAACTCCCATACTCTTTTTATAACTATATATGAGAAATCTTTGTTGTTAGATATATAAAAACCTAGAAATTATATAATATATAATATATATACCTCTTATATATAATATTTATATCTTCAATATTAGGTTTTCAACGAAAAATATAAAATTTGTTAATACTTATATTATTACATTCAGTACGAATCAATTGGAAAATCCTATTAAATATATAGATTTAAATATAATAGAAATATCATTTTTTCTGTGACATACGTTTCACAGCTCAACCATCGAGAAAAAATTCCTCCCAATTTTTTTTTTTTAATCTTTTTAATGCAAACGGGAGGAGACTTTTGTTGCGTTTATTAATATTATTAATTTCTTTTTCTTTAAACAATTATATAGTTTTCGAGGTCCCGAAACTTTGTCCACAACTGCGATTATATTGTTCTCGCGCGCTAAATGTTCTGTAACCCGCATATATTTTGCGTCTGTAAACGCTAAATGTGTATAGTTAACACCCTGCTAGATATTTATCTTGAATTATGTATAAAATAAAACATCTTTGTGTTTTTATTTTTCTTTTTTATCTTTAGGATCGATAACGCTGCTTGTTAGAGAGCGTTACATTTAAAAAATGTGATATTCACTGAATATATATCTATACATATATCGAGAGAGAAATGTCAATGTAATTTAAGATTACACCAGTAAAGATTCTATATCGTATTTCACGTATCTCACACTTTGGCGATAAATCAATCGTGTTCTTCAAATCGGATTCCAGCGGGTACATGCTTACCGCGATAAGAAACGTTACAGTGCTCTCAGTTTTTTTTTGTGTGTCACTGTACCAGAGTAAAAATACAAGTCCCTTTGCAAAATCTCTACTCACATGATATTCTCATTCAGAGTCCGCGGTTGTCATCGCCTTCTCGTTCTTTCTTTTGTTTTTTAAACAGACGAGAAGCGGAAATTGTAACAGGATTCTAAGGGAAGGTCGGGGTCTAACTTGTTGAGACAACTGGTGTCTGACAGTACGGGCACTCACGCTGATTCGGCGCGCATGTAGAGCAGACCACGTAATGATTGCAGGCCAGGGTAACTGCACGATTCTGTTCCTCGCAAACCATGCACTTTGCTGCCGTTTCTCTGTACAGCACCTGGCAATACAGCAATGTCAACAGGATGTTACATATTTTATCATTTCCTCCCTAATCACATCAAATTATATCATAGCGATTAACGTGTCAAAAGACACTAGCGCACGTTTTGACGGAACAAAAGATCTCTTTACCTTTTCCACCTCCTCGAGATCCGAGCGCAGTTGCGACTGAATTGATTTCAAGGTTGCTATCGATAGCGTTCTGAGCTCGCTTATTTTCCTCAGTGAATGCAAATACGGGCCGCCGTTGGACGCCTTATTCTCGACCCTGAGCGCTTTCAGTGCCTGCGAAAAATCCATCCTCTCGAATACAGCGAATTGGGATTGCGGTATCGCGTGAGTGGCGCGCGCTAAGTTAGACGGGATATTCACCTCGTCCCTCTGCTGCTCGGCGATGGTCGCCTTTCTCTTCGCCTCCTCGCTCTCCATCTGCCAAGCCGCGCAAGCCGCGCGCGCTTGATTAATACGCTCGTCCCATGTCGCCAATTGAGCGCGGCTCGACGACAGTTCGTCTCTGAGCCTTTGTACCTGCAATACGGCGTCGTGCATTATATGCGACCGATTACCATCACGACTCATTCTTGAGATTATAGCCGTGAAAAAAATTCTTTAAAAATCGTGCAATTCTAACCTCGGACAACGATCCTGTGTTACTTGGACTAATGGAAAATGCATTGACCAATGGAGATGCCGGTAGAGTGGGTTGCGTACGCGACGGTGACATTCCTTGGCTCGCGAAATCGAATAAACTACTATTGAATCCACTAAGCTTAGAAGCCGAGCTGCTAAGTTGCGAAATGTGATTGCTAAATGGATCTGATATCTGATTCATAAATGGCAATGTCTGAAAGTAACCCGAAGACGTCAAGTTAGTTAAAAAAAGAACAAACGATTCGATATTTTTCACAATACCAACAGAAACAAGAGTCAGCTTACGGATTCCATGGAATCTTGATGAGAGAATCTCGAGCCGGTGAGAAAACCAGTCTGCAATTGCTGAAGCGGGCTCGACGTCGATGGCGAGAAATTGCTTAGAACTGAACGTTCGGCCATGCCCGGTATGTTGACCGGGGCTGAGCTACCGAGTAGACCGGAGCTAGCTAGGCCCGCCGATATCGAATTGCCAATCGGTGAATTTGTATCCCTATGAATTGAGTCGACTAAATTTAACGGGTCGTCTAAATGTAACTCGTCTAACGCATTTCCTGAAATAGAGATCAGACGTCCGCGTTAGAGCATGTGTATATGATACGTAAACATGAATCGTGACACACGATACTGTGCCGCACACACTTACCTACTACAGATTCCACAGTATCGTTTGAATAAAACGAATTTGAAAGTGGTGAAACAGTGGTTGCTAATGAGTGACTGCCTAATGTCCCGTTCAAATTGTACGCAATGTAGAGACTTTGTTTTTGTTGGGCCTTTTCAGCTTTTGTTAACAACGGATCGCTGTCAATGGCGACCATTTGCTTCCGAATTTCATTCTGTCGAAATCAATGCGAACATCAATCATAATATATACGAATGATTCTAAATTATGATGATTTTAAATTTTATATCAATACTCCAAGAAGTGAATCTAGAATTAAGAATAAAAACAAAATGATGCTAATTATTTTATATATGTTTACATTTTATTATTACAAGTTTAATAAAAATTGGAGCTACGCTCATGCGAAATCTCTCTTCTCTCAGGCTCTAAATTTATTCCCGATAGTATCGCTTTATGCTAAACTACAGCGTGCCACGTTCAAAGAAAAAACACAAAACTTACAACTTGTATGAGGGAACTAGGGTTGTAAAGTATGCTCGTAAGTTTTTGCTGTGCGGCCGCCGAATTTATGCCGGAATTGGTATTATTGGAATTGTGCAGTTGAGCGCCCGGCGCTTTGCTGTGCGAGCTGTTACTACCCAAACTGCTGGTGCTGGCGGATTCCGAGACCTCGCCGCTTCCATTCTGCAAGTCAGTCGACCGATAACACTGTGTTTTTAACATGGACATAAAAATGTCATCTTAAAATCTCTGATAAGTAAATAACAAATTAAATTCTATCGGTTCGACAAAAAATTCGCTACTTTACTCTAAATTTTTTGCTCTATTTTTTTTTTAAATCTAATCCAACGCGAGTCGAAAGCAGTCTATACGATACGATATGCGAGAAGGAACTCCGAGACTCACGCTGCTGTCACTGAGTTGCTTATCCTTGTCGTGCGAGCGCTTGTCGGGAGGAAGAGCGTTGCTGAGTATGTCTGCCAGATTCGCTCCGCAATCTATAGGTACCGCCATATCCCTCGCCAGGCTCATTTCTTCTGTTGGCAACACTGCTTCCATCAACACACCATACCAACGTCCCAATATATCAATTTTGAGAAACAATTTTGACGGCTAAGATTTAGCATTTTTTTGTTTATCAAGCTCCGGCTCTCTACGTGTAGTATATCCGAATGTAACTCGCGAAAGGGACCCGCGAGCGCGAACGCCGACCGACCGCGGGTCGCGGGGGGATCGACGTGCGAGCTCGCACCGCCGAGGTGAGACAATTTCGAGAGACAGTATCGAGACAGCCAGGTAAACGCGCGTATCAGACTCTACGTGATCTCTCGCCGTGTACGCATAATTTCATTGAACTTACAAAAGTAATATAATAAGACTGTTTTACGTACGATTGATGAGTGTACACTCACGGTCAACATGCGCGAAGGCGCAGAAGACGCCGCGCGGGCAATAGCCGGCCTGCTGCACGTCGTTGCATTTGGTGGACTTGTAGATCTCCGGATGAAACTGCTGTTCCGTGCGAGTATGACAGTACGTGCACGCGTCCCCCTGCTCGCAGTTGCCCGGCTCGCCCCATTCCTCGCCGTGCTTCACATTCGGACACGGCGTTGAGCTGCAACCGTTCGTTAGCATTTAGGAAAAAATTACCCCCGGCGTAATGCGGCGTCTACAATGAGACTTAAGATTTAAAAAAATTGACCGATCACAAAATTGATTATTCCTCTCACATGAGAAAAATAATCGATTGTGACTAGTCAATTTTCTGAAATCTTAAGTCTTGATTAATTCGCGAGATGAATAATCGACTATGATTGGGTCAATTTTCTTAAAAATCTTGAGTCTTATTGCAGACGCCACTTAACGCGGTTGTCTACAATGAGACGTAAAATTCAAGATTTAAGAAAATTGATCAATCATTAGTCGATTATTCATTCCACGTGAGAAGAATAATCGATGGTGATTGGCAGTCATTTCTTAAATCTTAAATCTCATTGTAGACGCCGCTTAATCGGGCTAATTATTTACCGATATTTATACTTCCGCGGGCTGCGCCGCTTGTCCTTGCTGTTGTGATACTGCGGACAGGCGTAACCCTGCCGGCAGAGCCGCGGCGGTCTCTTGCACGGCTCGGTCTTATAATTGCTCAACACATAGTTCGTGTCCTGCCACTTCGGGTCCTCGTTCATCAGGTTACGCTCCTTGTCAAGTATGTTAGGCCCGTTCGACGAGGAGTTCGGGTCCGAGTCCGGATTCTCCAGCGCCTGGATCTCCTTGATGTCGTACACGGGCGGGCGCAGGTCGTGATTGCCGTGCGCGAAAGCGCAGTGCGGGCCATTCTTCACGCAAAATCCACGGGTGTCGGTGTCGTGGACGCACATGCACGTCTTGTAGTAGCGCAGATGATAACGCCTCTCCGTGTCGCCCGCGGTACGATGTAGAAACGGACACCTGTTCAACGAGATAACATTTTTTTTTCCTTTACATCCTCGATCGAGACTTTTCACAAAACATTACGACTCTCGTGCGTTCTTCCTCTTTTCTCAAGCGGCGACCGCAATGAGACTTAAGACTTAAGAAAATTGACAAATCATAGTCGATTAGTCTTTTAATGTGAGATGAATAATCGACTATGATTGGTCAATTTTCTTAAATCTTGAGTTTTAAGTCTCATTGTAGATAACGCTTTAATCGTTAACCTTCATACTTGTATTCATTCCTTAGGTAATATTGAAATTAATAGACTAGACTTCCACTGCATTCAATTTTCGCTCGTTCTTATGACGCTTATTACGAATATTATTATTTTCATATTAATTTCTTATCGTATCCAAATTAAGAATAATTTTTATAAAAGATGCAAATGGATAACCTATTTGCATCTTTAATAAGATTTGCATTTTCATTAATAAATATAAATTCATTAAAATAGACATTAATAAATATAATAAATAATTTAAACGTTACACGAAAATATAAAAATTTCTCTTTGGAATTGCCATATGCAATTTCCTTTTTTTTTACGTGAATTATATTCCGAGATGTAACTATATCGAAAAAAAAATAATATAAATAATTTCCTAATCTATTAAAAAAAAAATAGAAATATAAAACGGTTAAAAGAAATTGAAATATGTAATAGCGATTGTATTAAAATTTTTAGAAACAGATATATCTCCGTTGTATATTCCGAGCAAGCTACAAGAGACATCGAACTGGTATTTTGTGATATTTGCAGTAATATTTCACGATTAAATCGAGAGGTTCAGCCGAGTGGCGGGCAAAACTGTTGGTGATTCGATTGCGGCGCGCCTAACACCCCGCATAAGGTTTTGGATACATAGTGATTCTTTGTTGTGCCATCGTGCCAAGTACGCGAGGGAAAATCGATAAGAGAGTGGGCTTCCTTTGTTCGGCACAAACTCGTAACGTTGGGAATTTTGGGGAAGAAGTTCACACACAATGTGCTCGCGACGATCGCCCGATGAGAATCACTTTACCGCCGAGTGTACCGAGCGTAATAAAAGTTCACAGCCGTAAAAATAATTTACGGCCGATTTAAAGGACGGTCGGCGGAGCAGCCATCGTTTAACCCCCCCCCCCCCTCCGCCCAAGTGACGATATTTCCCGCGTAAAAATCGAAGTATCTGTTAGAGAAAAAAAAAAGGTAATGGCGATCAAAAGTGCGATCTTATCCGTGATATTCTTGCAAAATTTTTATGATGATAGAAAAAAAAGACTGTAATAACATAAAAACACGAGAGTCTAAAGAGAGATTAATTGTTGTGTATACACGCGAAACTTATTCGAGTTCAGTAACACGAAAATCGAGCCATTACGCTCTTTGCAATTTAATAAAGCAACTCGCTCGTGACTTGTAATTAGTTGAATGTTGCTCGATTACGAATGTCCACCTGTTTACGCAAATCGAATGCGTACTTCGATGCGCGCGCGTTTCACGTTTACTGTCATGGAAACGAAGTTGCAAAACGTTGGCTGGCGTTGTTAAAAATATAGTATGTTAATTTTATGCGTAAAGTGCAAAGTTAACTATGGTATTGTTACAGTGTCACTGCTTCCGGCAAGAGGCACATGTATAATCGATATACACCGCCGAGCTCTATCTAAGGAAAACACACGTGTTCCTCCAGGATCCTAGAAATCGAAATTCTCGAGAAATTCTCACAAAGAAAAAAAAAACAAAATTATCTCAAGAACGATCCAGAATACTGGAACTTGTGAGACGAGTTTTCGGGATTATTGTCATTATCGGAAAGGAATTCACGTGAAAAATGTTGGGTCGGTCGAAAAACGTATCACACAGCATCTTCTCACCACCGAGCCCGCCGGGGCAAAGCCGCAACGATTACGTGTGCGTTACGTGTCAACGACCAACAACGGACGGGGACCACGCGTCTGGTTCTTCTCTTCTTTTTTTTCTCTCTCTCTCTTTCTTTCTCTCTTTCTCTCTCCAGCCTCCGATTCGTAAACGAGCCGCGCCGTGGATCTGCGTGGATCGTGGCGATAGCCGCCGCCGCCTCCTCCTCGAGGAGATGAAACTTTCTCGAGGTGTTCGGATTCCGAGGTTTCGCGCGCAGATTTCGCGGCAAGGATCTATCCGCGCGAGGATAGATCTTCCCTCCCCGAGAGAAAGGAAACCGCATATCACACAGGCTGTAAACACCTAGCCGAGCGCGCGCGCGCTCTACGCGACGGAATACATACTTTAATTTATGTATATACGACGCAGCACGCGGCTTGCTGTTGTGGGTCGATAGGAGGCACGCGGGCCGCCGAAAAAAAAAATTGCGATACGCAATTCCGCGCGTGCGACGTGTTATTTTTTTTCTCTCCTTCTCTCACGCTCCTGGAGCTCCGAGAGCAACAATTGTTTCTCTCTCTCCGCCGGGGGATGAAAGAAGCCCGCGCGCGCGGAACGCGCGCCGGGAACGTAAACACGTAGGTGCGCGCGCGAGGACACGTACGCCGCGACGGCAACGCTACGGTACATATACGTAGCGCGTTATGTTTTATATATATATTATGTATAGATATATATCTCATATGTGTATATATACACATATCGCGCGTATCCTTATCGATACGATAAAGTCTGCCGTTTCGGCGCGATACCGCGCGATATAAACGAGAAAGATATCAGTGCCTCGCCACGACGAGGCGCGAACGTTGGCGACGTTTCAACGTGAAAACATCGTCACGAATGCCGTAACCGCTCCTGCCATGATATACCCGTGTACACATACACAACGCGGCGCGCACAGTCACATTACCACTAGAGCGGAGAGAAGAACGCGCACCGCGCGCGCGCGCGCGCGCGCGTGTGTGTGTGTGTGTGTGTGTGTGTGTATGCGTGTGTGTATGTGTGTGTCACGTAACCTGGCCTGCGCGATGCGCAATAGAAAGGAGCAAAGGGAAAAAAAAATTAAATAAAAGGGAAAACACTTACTCATCTCCATCGGGGCAGATGCCAGTCGTCTCGTCGTACTTGGTGCAATAATTGTCGGCGCTGTAGTTGAAGGTGCGGTCCCGCTTCCTCACCGGCCTGCGCCTCCGCTGGTTCATGAAGTGCCAGTTGAAGCACGTGAACGGCCGGTGCTGCGTGCATTTGCGCTGTATGAAGAGGGGACACTGGTCGACACGGAACTCCTTCAAGTATCTGGAATGCGAATCCACCGTGCTAGACATTACTTTATTCTCTCCTTCGTCCCGTAGGTTGCCCGCTGCCACGCGCTCTCTCTTCCCTGCCTCCACGCTGCCTTCGCCGCCGCCACCGCCGCCGCCGCGCGTCTCTATCCCTCTCTCTCTCTCTCTCGTCCCGTCGCTCATACATGTATTTTTGCGGATCCGTAGGACGCGCGCGTCGCGTATAGGCCGCGTTCGTTGCTCGCGGCTCTCCCGTTCCTCCCTTTCCGTCTCTCTCTCATACCGTCGCGCGCGCTCACTCTCGCTTAGCTCTCTCACTCTCACGTTTGCACGATCTCTCGCTCCCTCCCTCTCTCTCTTTCTTTCTTTCTTTCTTTCTCGTTCGTCGCGCTCTCTTCCTCTCTATCCCACTCCGCTCCCTCTCTAGCCGCACCGTTACCTTCTACTTTTAATCTGTCTCTCTCCCTCACTCCCTATCTCTCCCTCCCTCGCCCTCTCTTTCTCACAATATGTTTGATTTATTTTTCCACGCACTCCACTTTCCGGGATACGTGGTGGTCCCGCGCACTTCCCGGCGCACAAATGGCCCGCGACTTCGTTCACACGTACTCCCTCGCTCTCTCTCTCTCTCTCTTTCTCTCTCTCGCCGACTCTTCTCTCACTCCCCCTCGCCCGCTCGCTATACTTTTTCTCGCGGGGGCTATCGGCGGCGGCGGAGGACAGGGACATGTATGTATACGCGGTGCGCGCGACATGCAGCCGCGGCTCCGAATCGCCGCTGCGGCCGCGCCGCGCCGCCAAGTTATCGCGCCACTGGTCTCGCCACAACCTGGGGCACGGGCGGCCCCGGCCGGCCGCTTTACTTACGTGTAATGATTCGCCTTCTCCGCCTGAGCTGTCAACAAAGGTTTCGAGTCGGACTTCATCTTGGATACAACAACGCGAGCCGCCACCGACCAACCGCGCTCGCGCACGAACACACGCACTAACACGTACGGCGTACGCCACCGACCAACACGGCGCACCGTTGCAAACACCGTCACCGTCACCGTCGTCGCCGTCGCCGCCACCGCCGTCGTCGTCGTCGTCGACACCGCCACGACCACCGCTACGACCGTCGCCACCGTTACCGTTCACCGTCGCCGCTACCGCCGCCACCGTCGTCGTGTCGTCCTCGTCGTCGTCGTCCTCGCCGTTCGCTCGCGCTCGCTCTTGTCCACCTCGTCCTCCTGCTCCCCCCCTCCCCTCCCCGCGGCCACCCGCCCGGCCCGGGGCGCGCGCGAATCCTATTGGACGGGGAACGCGGGGCCGCGCGCGTCGCGCACGACGCAATACACGTTGTAACGCGCCTCCGCCGGGCCAATCGGCGCCTTCCCTCCCCGCCGGTCACGTGACGCGCCGTAGGCTTTCAAGGTCATTGATGTTTTGGTTCACGCATAAACAGGCGTCCGCGCCAGCGATCGGCGGGCGACGCAAGATGCGACGGTCCGACGGAGGCGAGGACGAAGACGAAGACGAGGCGGCCGAAGTATCGCGTCAGCGGCCGCCGCCGTCACCGCCACCGTCGTCGGTCCTCGGCGCGTTTCACGCGCCGTTAGAAATCCGCCTTTCTTGTTCGGGCGGAACGGGATGTCTCTCTCCGGGAGAGGGAAGAGAAGAATTCTCCGAGGAGTGTCCGTCGCGTCATCCGTGCCCGTGTCCCGGAAAGAGACGCGTTTCGATAACTTTCCGATTTCCGATAACGTTTAATAAGGGGGTTGGGGGCGGGGGAAGCCGCGGCCTTCCTCGCGGTGCGCCGCTTCCTCTCCCTCGACGGGAGACTTCTCTCATCGACAAGTCGTGCGTCGACTTATCGAAACACGCGAGCGAGAGAGATAAGCGGTGGCCGAGGAGAGTGCCCCGTGGACGTACATGTTATTGTGTTGTTTTTTTTCGTTTTCTTATCTCCGAGATACGACTCCCGGCCCCGCGATTTATCAAGGTGGACGAGGCGATTCGCTCTGCCGTCGCGCCGGTCGCGCGTCGCGGTTTCTCGCGGTGAATGCTCCAGAAAAATCTCTCTCGCTCTCGAGAATCGATAACTCGCAAGAAGAGAACGCGCTGCAGAAGGATATCGCAACATTGTCCGCGCGCGATCCCGTCGCGGTGCCGTGCCAGCCAATTGTCACGAGAGAGAGAGAGATTTTCTCGCGGCGTAGAAAGAAAAAAAATGAGGGGCACCCCGCTCCACTCGTCGCGCACCTGCAAATCCTGACGCCGTGATTGTGCCGCGGGATCTCGAACGACACGTATCTGGAGCGATGTGTAGGAATTTACGCGTATACCCCGCGATAGTTGCGCGATGCTCCATTCCGCGATCTTGGTCCTCTTCCTCCTCTCGCTCCCTGCCTCTTATCCTCGTCGAGTAACTTTCGATCTCGTTAGCCTCGTCCGAATTTCGAGCACGAACGGCGCCGCGTTCCTCGCACACCGGAACTAGGAATCCTGCGAAGTTCTATTTATTTATAAATTACGAATTGCGGAGATCGAGAATTGGAGATTAGAATTCAATCGATCGGAACGAAACAGATTAAGACCGAATTATTTGACTCGGTCGATTTCCAATCTTCAATTCGCAATCGTCAATCTCCAATGCACAATCTGATCAAATTCTGATCGTGATCGCCACCTCTTCGATTTTCGGCTGGAGATTTAAGTTTTTGTTTTTTTTTAGCACATCACCGACCGATTAATCTGAATTTTGATGAATTTTTTCTTATAAGGAAATAATAGCGTAGAGCTGACGGTAAGAATCTTTTGGCCGGCACATACAATGAAATGACACGAGAGAATGGCAATCAGCTGGAGTTTGCTCCGGTTTTGAAAAAAGGAATATCTGGCAATAGGCTTAATGATCTCTTTTTTTTTTTCATTTTCGCCTGACTTCAGGCGACGATACGTCGCGACAAGAAACGAAAGAAAATTGGAATATTATTTGAAATATTTGAGCCTCGCGCGAATCGATCGAATGTTGGTTTCGAACGAAAGATTGATTTTCCAGTCATTACTGCGCATTAGAAATTTCATCCTCGCTCTCGCAAAATTTTCAATTTTTCAAACATATTTATTCTACTTAAATTTAAATACAAAAAAAAGTATACTGGGGCTGCGTTCGAGAAGCGCGCTATCAGCGCTATCGCATCATTTTTTCTCCAATTAACGATAAGGATAAAAAAGCGTGCCGATGGCGCGCTTTCCGCAGCCTAGTATAGCTAAAAAAAAAAGACCTGTAATACGAATCATTCGAAGGCTCAAACAATTCGATCCGCGCGATTCGAGTCGGTATTACAATTTCGCAGCTAACTTTCTGACGACGGGGAGGAGGACGAGGGCGGAGGGGCGAAATCGAGGGCCGGGGAAACGCACTTCGTATTACAGTAAATTTTATTGAGTCTGAATAGCGTTGGTGTTAGTTGCGTCGCGTCGCCGTGTCCCCGCTATCTCGCACCTTGGCATCTACACAGTGTCTCGGAATAATACATTCGATTGCGATTGTTATTTTTCTCCCCCGTCCCGTCACCGCGCGGCACGCGCCGTCGCGGAGCCGATCTCCGATTCCGCGCTAAAACATCTGTCGCGATCTCATTTTAGTAAAATAAAATGCGTGACACTGAGACAGAGGAACGCTGGAAGGACGTCGAAGTATCTGCCCGGATGTTCGGGGGCGCGTTCGTCAAATAGATTACACGGGGCGTTACGTGTTCGATTTACGCTGCGTTACGCTACATCGTCGAACTTAACACTTCGCCAACCGCGCGCGTTACGCCTTGACTATACGCTGAGCACCGGGTTACAATTTTTTTTTTGCAACCCGTATCGCCCTTGAAAATTTTCTTTCTCTTATCATTTCTTCTTCAAACTAATTAACACTAGAAGTATCAACGTTTCTAACTAGAAGGATCAAGCGAATAAATTACTACGAAAATAAAGAGAGTGATGAAAAATTAAATATTTCATCAAAATATAATTGTTACATGATCAAAAAATTCCAGACTATCCTATCATTTACGCCAGAAATATGACAATAAGACCTATTCAAGGCGGATGCCTAATAATATTTTTGCGTGAAAATATATTAATTTTTCAGCTCTTCGAGTTCATGTAGACTATATTAAATTTTAACGTTATATATTATATTATATTTCTTATTAAAAACATAACATTAATTTTTAAAACGAGCAATGATTGCTTGGTACTTTTAGTGTTAAAAATCATAGAATGGCGTGGTGTAAAACAGATGGATTCAACAAAGCGTACTACGACTCTAAATATACAACATCGAAATCCAAGATAAGAAATCCAAGATAAGAAGAAAAAGGACAGATCTACTCATTTCGTCGTTTAGTGATCGTGAAACTAGTAGATCCATTCAAACGGTCGGCAAAGTGTTAACGTAACCGATAACGCTCGGCGACGGTAATTTTACGATTTTCCACGATCGACTCGGGGATGACATTGCCGGCAAGCGCACGCTTATAACAGCTGTGTATACGTTATGTTAAATGTTAAACGATTGAACAATCGTAAGCATATATCCTCTTTGTCACGGCCTGTCGCCGCTTCGTCGTGAATAACGGAGAGCGTGTTATCCGGAGTATTACATTAACAAGTTTATTTTTATACAATTAGCTATCTATATACAGTATATCAATATGAATGTCGCATTTTTCTTTAACGTAATATTAAAGAGAGAAACCTCGTCTAATCTTGCCTGCTGCGCTAAAATCTGGAATATCCTGTTTTTTCTCTCTTTCTATATATATGTATATATATATAATTCTTTCTTATAATACTTTTAAAAATCGCGACCTCGTAATAACGAAATCTCGAGAAGCTTGCATTGATTGCGCAATATTTCTCGTTAAACCGGTATTCGCGTTCGATAATCGAAGCTTCATGCACGAGCTTCGGTATCGAAGGGATAACTTCGGCGAGTGATATCTCTGTCCTAATGGATCTTCAGATAAAATTTGAATACAATAGATTTGCGCGACTAAATTTCAATATAAATGTAATTGTAATTCATTGGGAACTCTATTCGATTACACGTATTTTTATACGGCAACTGAATCCGTAAATACTGCTCCTCCTCTCTCGAAGGTGTCTACGAAGTCCTTCAAATTTATACTTTTGATTAGGATCGTGAGTATACAGTATCGGCGAACGCGTTTAATCTGCATACTCGATCTCGATCCGCGTTACTTCTAGCTGAGAGCGGATAATGCGAATATTTAATATTGCATCGCGTGATCTCGGAGATGGCAGAGGCTGTTCTCTAAGATCCGGTTCGTTAAAAGGTCGCGGAGCTTTTTTTCTCCCCCCCCCCATTTTCTTTTTTTTCTTTTAACGTCATCTGTAAACGAAAGACGGCCATTTTATTTTCGGCGCCATCCGGTTTTAACGGCGGATTTAATTTTTTTTAAACGGTTGTTCCGTACGTGCTGAACATCACTCTGGTAGTATCTGTGTCGAGGGTGACGTCCTCCGGGGACGCTAGGTCGACCTTAATGGATCCGGAATTGTTCCGCCTACGCGTCATGCCACCGCCCCAATTCGACAGGGTCCAGTGGTAGGTCTCGCCCTCCCTCTCGGTGTTCGCCGCCGCGGCGGTCTCCTGCGTCGTCTCGTTCTCCTTATCCAGGCCGGTGTCGATCGAGACCGACGACTGCGACGCGACCGAGTCGAAGCTCGAGTCGCCGCCGCCGCCTCTGTACCGGCTCACGTACTCGATCGCCATCTCGCCCGGCGACTCCTCGATGGCGCGCAGGATGTTCTGGCACAGCTCCGAGTCGAGCGGTATCGGGTCCTCCGAGTCGCGATTGTGTATGGTCACCGCTATGTGAGCCGGATGCGGAATCGGCAGAGGGATCACCAGTTTCTCCGCGCTGTACGGATGAATCTGCCGTTTCCACGGCTGCCACCGTCCCTCCGAGTTGCTATCGCTCGTCGTCGCGCGCCGCCGGATTTTCGTCGACGTCAACAGGCCGCTGGTGTCGCTGTGGAGAGAGCCACACGTTTTACGTATTTTCTTTCCTCCTCCCCCCCCCCCCACCCCCCCGGAAAATTGTTGATAAAAATATGACGCAATTAATTACCATCGCTTGTCGGACTTCCTGCTGTTGCTGGCTTGCTTAGCCTTCGGATTAAAGGCGGACACCTCGAGATACGGACTGTGCACTTGGATGTTCCCGCGCGGTGCGTAAACGGCGCCGAGTAAATCGGGCCCGTTAATGCCACCGAGCTCGGTACTGTGCACCATGTCCGTGTACCGTGACAGATCGACACCGGGATGCGGCTCCAATCGGAATTTCGTATCGGAGTCGTCGAGCGGTTGTAGGAAATCCAGGCTGAAGATGTCGGCGTACATGAGACCCGCCAGGCCCGCCCAGTCGCACACCCCTAAACCCTTGTTCTCCCAGAAGTCCTCCTCGTTTCCGGGCAATCTCGCGAAAACGTGAGTGGGATAGAGACGTTCCAGCATCAGCGCGCCTTGCTGTATGACTACCTGCAATGCCATTTTAATTCTATCGTAACCGGACTGCGTGCGAATTTATCGAGTATTAATCCTTATACATGACAATTTTTTAAATCTTTTAGACTAAACTAGAATGAATTCGTGTCTGGATTAATTTTCATCATTTGTATAAAGTATGCAAAAATTATTAAGTGATTCTTACATATATTTTAATATTTTTAGAAAGTACTTGTAAAGTTGTGTATTTATGTTTAAAAAAGTCATTTGTGTAAAGCATGCAAAAATTATTAAGTGATTCTTACTTATATTTTAACATCTTTAGAAAGTATTTGTAAAGTTGTGTATTTATGTTTACAAAAGTTATTTGTGTAAAGCATGCAAAAATTATTAAATGATTCTTACATATATTTTAACATCTTTAGAAAGTATTTGTAAAGTTGTGTATTTATGTTTAAAAAAATCATTTGTGTAAAGCATACAAAAATTATTAAGTCATTCTTATATATACTTTAACATCTTTAGACAATATTTGTAAAGTCGTGTATTTATGTTTAAAAAAAAATTGTATGTAAATGTTATAATTAATTACAGCCGACGATAAATGCCGATTCAATCGTGTGTAGTAAGAGTTAATATTAATGCACGTGGAATTTTATGGAAAATAATTACCTTTAAGTCGAAAGTGGTTAATTTTATCTTACTCCTCACCGCGACGCCGAGACCCGTCTGCAAATTCTTTCTTCGTCGATCCAGCTTCTCGTGCAGCACGGCGATTAGATCTTTGGCTTCTTTCTCGAGCGATTTGTACGGGTCCTTCGTCTTGGCGAGGCTAGCGGCGAACGGGCCGAAACAGGCTTCGACAAACTGTGTAAAATCTCTCTGCGGCTGAGTGATTAATCTCTCGATCTCTTGCTGGAAAGCCAGCAGCTCGTCCAGCTCCAATTTCGCTTCGAACGCGGCCAATGCTTGCTCCGCTCGTATCTGACAAAGATATAACCAGTTTCTTAGATTTTATTCCTTCAATCTATTATGATGTTCATCCGCGATAAAAATCTAACTTCTCACTTGATAATAATAATCCGAAGCTAATCCCGGCCCAGCTATTCTTTTCACGACGAAGCTGTCGCTCGCTGGTATCCGACCTCTATTTTTGATCACTAGGTGGAACATAACCGTATCCCAGAACACTCTGACCCAGTAACGTATCACAGCAACTGCGAAAGAAATATATAATTATTTCAAATGTACTTTCTCGTGAGCGCCATTCGTCTGTCGATAAAACTCAACATTTTATTTACTTGTAAGTATCACGAATGAGATGATCGGGCATATGACAAAGGCTACGAATATCGCCGCTATCGGTTGCAGGCAGCCTTGAATACCGATGTTCCAGGCCAGCGCTTCCATCACCACGAAGTATCGATTGCGGCTCGGCTCGGGACTGTCCAGATCCATCACGAGCGCCATGAACGCGTGCAGCGTCATCGTGACCAGAGGCATCCTGAAACGGCCGATGAGTTAAAAGAGTTCAATTCACACTCTACTTAAGGACAAACAAATGAGGAATCCGTCGCACGAGAAACTAACCACAAGATCGCAGTGAGAGCGATAATCAGCGAGCTGACGCTCGCCAGAACGCACACCACGGGAAACACGAACAGAATGATGAGCGTGCCTAGTAGACCCTTCGCACCGTAGTTCCATAGCCTATTTAGATGCCTCGTCATACCTTTGCCGATGAATCCTAAAGAGAATTGTTAGCGTGTTAATATTTTATTCTAATATGTATATTAATTAGAGAATCTAATACTATATTTTTATTATTATTATTATTAAAGCACGAGTATGATAAAGAGAGATTTTTTACCTGTGTCTGGTTCAGTTTCGAAGTGTGTCCGACTTTTACTGATGTGCCTCCAGAGTGCTATCAATCGGGAACAGAGAGTAGGCATTTGCGATGACTTTCTCGGGAACAACGTTCCATTCAGTTGACTCAGTTCCAGGTCGGGGGTGAACGGTTGCACCAGCAGTAAAGCGCGGAAAGACACCGGGCTGCACCACGGTACGGCTACGCCCAGCAGGAACATCGCATTCCAAGTCCAACACCACGTCCTGGCGATATAATTTATCCAGCGCCACATCGGCCATCTATTGTAGATCGCGAAATCGTTAGAATTTAGATAGAAATAGAATTAAACACACGATAACCTCAATAATAATAATAATAAGTTAGCTCGATTGAGAAGTATGTACCTTGTCGTAGTCGTGTGTACGATCTCTCTTTCGACCAGAAAGACGGGCTGACTGGGATCGGCGCGGGGCGTCGTGATGGAAGTCGGGGTGTTGCTAAGCACGGTCGGAATGATTTCGGACTGGCCCTGAAAATTGCGTCTTATTATCCAGTTCTTCGGCAGCCAGATTTGCGTCGGCCATTGGAAAGTCCTCGTCGGGGTTTTCACCTTCCGCAGCTCTTTCAGGAGAACTGGCTCTCTCTGAAGCAGACAAATCAGCGGTTTCCAACAAGCTCCAAGACCGACAGAATTTCAAGATCAAGGGCTTATATTAGATACCTCTTTCATGAAGGTTAAGTCGCGATTGAGGAAGTACACGGTCTGGGTGAGATTCTGATGGCTGCAGAGCGCGAGAGACTCCTCGTGCGCGCTCCATTCGCACTCCTCGATAAAATTCTCCTCGGCCTCGCGCATGCGATCGCGCATCCACGGCTGTATCCGCGACAGGATCGGATGCTCGCTCTCGATACGCTGTCGCAGAGATTCTTTGGTTTGCGATAGCTTCCGCTGCACGTTCTCCACCGCTCGGTGCATCAGCACAACCGATTGCGCCTGTTGAACCAGCAGCTGAGCGATGCCCTCGCCTAGCGCGAGTATGTCGGGATGCGACAGGATATTCGAGTACACTCTCTGCAAGTACTCGCGCATCACCGCTTCGTTAACTTCCTAAAAATGTCGATTAACAATATTTAATTTATTTATTTAAGTAAACGTCTCTTAATTTATTCTACAGTTATTAATTGATTTTTAAATATTTGATTTATTTAAGTAAATACGAACATCTCTCTTAATTTATTCTACATTTATTAATTTATCTCTTTTATGAAAGTATATTAAATACAACTTCAAGAGTGTAGCTGTCAGTTTTTAAATTAAAAATGTGTTTCCTTACTCGTTCTATCTCGTCGTCCGGCTTCTTTTGTGCTCTCAATTCGGATATCAGTCTTTCTCTAAAGTGAAGGAACCAGCCTCTTGTCTCTCTCTCCAGAATCGCGACGAGCGTCGGTAGAGCCTTCCTGATTATGTCCCTGCTGAACAGCCTGAGATCAACCGCGGCCCCGCCAGGCGTCCCAAATACGAAGGGAACTGACACGGGCAACAGCTGGGACGATTCTCGCTCGACCTCGAACTTCTCCGTGGTCGCTCGACGCAGTTGCTTCCGTATGAATCCGCAGAGGAGCTCCAGGGAATCCTCGTATTCCGGCTACACGGCGTCGTGGGAGCGAAAACGATCGCTTAAGGTTTACGCAATCGGGAATCGTATCTCGCGGAATTATTAGCGAAAGTAACGGTCTTACCCTGCAGACCAATTCGGCCACCAGATATCGGCAGCGCTCCTCCCTAATTTTAGCATCTAGATTGTGTGCCTGGAGCGACGGTACGCCGATTATAATGTCTGCAATGACGCATACATGTAAATGTAATACGCAACGCGTGCGTGTATTAACGGCGTTATATATAGATATAATTGCGGTGTCGTATAATGTGCGGATGTGCGGCTTAAGACGTCACATACAAGCGCGCGCGCGGAGGGCGCAAACTGCTCACCGAGAAGTCGCAGCAGCCCCGTTAACAAGGCTTTAAGGGATTGCGAGACACTGAAGCAATGGGAAACTAATCTAGCCTTTGCCGTTACAACGAGAAACCTAGTCGCCAGGGCGAGGTCTGTGAGCAACGCGTCCCGCCGTCTGTCCCGGCCGCGCTGCAGGAGGCCGCTCAGTCGCCATCGGTGCGTCTGCCCGGCGAAGTTGATCGAGTCCACTTCGAACTCTCTGCAAGAAGGAAATCGGTCGATATCAGTCGCGCGGTAGAATTCTCTCTCGCGCGCGCGTGCGATTTTGCGACGGCCAAAATTATACAAAGCGCCGTGTGTGTCCTACAGAAAAAAAGAAACACAGTTCGGGATGGTAAGAAATAATAAGGATTTCCCTCTCCGGTGTAAAACAATTTACAACGTAAAACGTCTACTTTTATTCTAATTTCACCAGGAATATATACTTATTTCGAGATAGCGTTGCTAATCCGTGCTGAATTACGCTCGCCCAACCACAGTCCTATATGTATAGTGACTCGCTAACACCCGTGGATTTTTCCTTTACATTACAGCATTTTATGTACAAGCCAAACTTAAAAAAAATAAAAAATAAAAAAACTAAAGATAAACAGCAGCTGCGGTTTGTACAAAAATCGAGTGCCATGCGACAACGAATACACACACGTTATACAAAAGGATGTTACACCAATCTCCAATTCCAGTGGCGCAAAAGAGTTACACGGGGTATAATATGCGTTTATCTCATCAACGCTCCGCAAATGATTCATCGGGCGTTTAAGATAAGCTAATGGCGGTGCGAATGGAAAAGATCATGCTTGGTAAACGCGACACCGTTCTCGCGCGAGAGGGGAAGTTAAGCCCCTGCGAGAGAGAGAGTTAGTCAAGTCCCCTCCGAGGTCGCTTTGTACAAGTTTACCTATCGGCCTATTTGCACAAACGTTTAACACATTGTCTTTACACATTTTTTTTTTTTTTTTTAAGCGCTTGTCGCTTAAGTGTGTCACACGTACCCGCATCTTCGAATGCTCTCCAACTGAGTGGCATTCAGCTTCTTCGGCTTTCCATATTTATCCTTGTGTAAGCTTTACAGAAATCGTTAGAGCATATCAGACAGGCATACAGACACACGCATCACGTGAAGCGTGGGGATCGCTTTATTTATTCTGCGTAGAGAGAGGACCCCGCGCACGCGGCTCTAATGCGTCTCGAAAAAACGTGAGCTACATAGACATCGATACGTCCCGCTTCAAGACTCGCGTCTCCTCGTCGCGCGGCATCGTCGCGGACCATTTCCGGATTTTGACAGACCCGACGCGGATATATAAATACTCATCCATTACGGCTACGTTGCATTACTCTCTTCCTCTCTATCCTTTTTTTTCTCTTTCTTTCTTTCTACTGCCTAACTACTGTCGCTACGTATAATTAATAAAATGACTAGCTATATCACGATCGTCAAACGAGTAAAGAGAAAACCGTTGATATACCACTACATTGTACTGCGTCCGCGTAAGGGACACCTACCCCCGCTCCCTGATGCTCTCCAGTTGTTTGTTGGTCAGTCTTCTCGGCTCGCCCTTACTGTCCACGGCGACGGCGTCCAGCTCGTCGAAGCTGGGCGCCACGAAGAGATCCCTCAGGTGGTACTTCTTTCGCGCCAACGTGTCCTCGCCCTCCGTGCACGAGGACAACGACGGGGGCAGGACGATGGGGAACGTACACCAGTGGTAGAGGAACTGCTGGGCGACCTCCTTGATATTGTGTACCAACGCCTCGACCTCCGCTGGAGCACCTCGCAGATGCGACGTGTCGAATTCCACCGGCTCTTTCTGAAGAACGATTTTCATAAGTTCAGAATTTTCATTTTAGATTTTATCTCATATTTTAACTTCCACTTTTTATTCGAATCTTAGTCATATTTCAATTTTATAAACGATGACAATTTTTTTTACATGATTTTCCCGAACTTTTATTTAAGTTTCAAAATTTTTCAAACTTTCTGTTTTAAATTTTTACAAGTAGAAAGAGAAAGTTCTTTTAGGAAGTTTATATCTTTTCTAGAATTCCTTGTATATATAAATTCTAAGATTTCTAATAAAATTATATTTTATTCTATAATTTTCTAAAGAAAATTTACAAAATTTGAAAGGTTTGAAATATTTTTAAAACATTTTTTAAAAATTTAAAATGTCAAATTCTTGAAAACATAAAACATTACGAGAATTTTTACCAGGGGATAAAATTAAGGATACTCTTTTTTTTATTGGCCTAAATCGCTCTCCAAGGCGATCAACGATCAACGTATAAAATATTTCTCCAAAGTAAACGATAAAAGAGCTACAATTCGATAAAACAGACTCATAAAACGCTTCGGAAGCTCCGTTATGCTATATCCATTACAAGTTCAATATATCCAAGATGTTTATTGACGTAGGGCAAACATATAGGGTACGATCGATCGATTTTGCGTGTACCTCAGGCTGGAGTCCATCTGCATTCTGGTTATACGTCTGCTGGGGATAGGCTTGATGATTCGGTCCCGTGTTGGCGGAGTTGGCGGAAGCTGAGTTTAGATTGTGGGGCATCTCGCGCGTGAAAAGCGTGCGCGGTGGCTGGGGTCAGCTGCCCCGTACACCGACTATCTCCTCATACACCATACTGCTGGTGGCCACCATTTATCATCCCACGCTGCAAATCAAACACGAGAGATCGCTCGAGTATAGATCATTCCTCTTAAGTATACGCGGAATGATTACGCGTCGATATTTCAGCGGCCGCGCGGAGGAAAACGTTTTGATTACATCAGCGAGAGACGTATATGGTAGTATGCATTTTAATTGGTGAGATCAAACAGATCTATACTTATTATATCATGATTCGATTCGATATTATTTTATAGTTAGAACGTTTGCTAGATTTAATTATAAGGATTTGGTTAGTATTTCATGTTGGATCTATATAAAACTTTTAATTATATTCATTAAACATATTTTACATTAAAAAAGTTATGTTGTCTTAAATTTAGTATCGTTATCAAGAAATTTTCTGGTACATTTAACAGAAATAAGAAATTAATTACGCTCATCTGGTAGTTTCTAAAAAAAACTTTGATTCATTTATTTTCTAACTGACATATTGGTTAAATCTGCTAGATTTCATATAGATTTTTTTCCAGTGAGCTCGCTTTTTAAACGAGAAAAATACAGCTTTGGCCATAAAGCGCCTCCACAAATTGACGTAAAACGTTTTATATCTAACAAAGAAAAAAAACCAGTTTTATTAAAAAATAATATTTACTTTTATAACAATTTTAATATTTTACTAATTTTCCTTTGGCTTTCATAATATATAGTATTACCGTTTTTTCAAAGAAAAAAATATAATAAACAAAAAATTGAGGGTGCTTTGTACTTATATAGCCAAGACTGTAATTTTACACAAATGTTTTCTTTTTCTTCCTACCGAGTTGAAAGTACGAGAACGATGTGAAAAATTAGAGAGTATAATATACACGTTCGCATAAGTACAAGTGTACGGAATACCCGCGTGATTCTCTCCATGCAACATGCTGCAATGAGAAAGGAACAGAGAAAGAGAGAGACGGAAGGTGTTCGAAAGAAAAATAGAATTTTATAGGGACGATAAAACCCGGAGAGAGACGCGACGCGCGTTGTCATTCGTCGCGCGAGACGGTGGTGACCCGGCTTTGGCTGAATGCGCGAGACCTATTAACCGATTATGTCCCATTAAACGTTTAAGATTCTGAACATTCCAGCTCTTCTTGTACCGCCGCGCCACCGCATATGCTTCGAATTACGCCTCCGCTCTCCTTTTTTCTCTTTCTCTCTCTCTCTCTCTCCCTCACGCCGCCGGTTTACGTCGCCGCGTCATGTTTTTCCTCCCTCCCCGTCTTTTATGTGGACCACGATATTGCAACTCCCGCGTGTGAATCGTTCGCGGGACGAAAGCTGCATCGAGCCGAGTATCTCGGCCGAGGGCGGATCTAAAATTTTGCAAAGTTTTCACATGAAACTGACCTTTTTTTGTGTTCACATTTATAGCAAATATTTTTTTTACTTATATACGTACATTCACGAATGCATATTTTTCACTTCCTTAATTCGACTATTAATTGGATTATTACTGGCTAAATCGAATCCGCATTGAGGATTGAGAGCTATTAATGTCCATTTCTATCACTGCAGAGATTAACTTTAATCTCGGTTTAGCTTGCTCTTTATCTTTTTCAAATAAAAAAAAAATAGATCAAGAGTAAGTTAAACCGAGATTAAAGTTAATCTACAGTGGTAGAACAAAAAGTAAAAATAGGATAAAGTTTGCGAAAATTCTTTCGCAGAAACATTTCCCGAGGCGCGATATAGAGATGTACCGGCAAAAATACGAGCAAACGAATGAAAAATTTCGCGGCTGTCCCGAACTGACGAACGATCCGCCGAAATGTCACGAGCACAATTTATTTTTGTGCGATACACTTACGGGGAGGGCACTTCGATCGAAATTATTTTCAACCGCGTTTGACCCGGCACACGCTTTTTCAGCCACGGCCGTCACACAGATCACACAAAACGAACGTTTTTGTAAGGAAAGATAAAAACAGGCCGCGCCGCGCCGCGCCGCGCGGCTCGCGTGACAAAAGTGAAAACTCTGATAGACGCATAGGTAGAACTATCGGTTCGCCTCGTTCCGGTTCGAAGGAAATTACGTCGCGATGGGTATACCAGCTTATACCAGCCCGGGACTTCGCGGAGAATAATCACGCACTTTCGCGTTTCGCGACCGTTCTCCTTTCCTTTCCCCTCGACAACCGGGGCGAACCCCGATTTCGTTTCTTTTTACCTCCGACGATAACAATTACTTATGTCAAACTCAAGGGAGTATCACTTAATGGGATAACATTATCTCGAAATTGAAACAACGAATAGAAAGAAAAGATTACATTAATGAGAGTCAAGACGTGCGAAATTCTGTGCGCAATATAAATTAAAAACCATCGTTATTATTATATAATTAGTTATTTCGTCGCGAATAAGTGAAAAGATAAACCTTGTATTTGCTAATTTTCCAACCTTAAATAAATGTAAATCTTGTAAAATCTTCGATCAGGCTGTATGTAAATACAGATGAGAGTCAGGACGTGTGGAATTCTGTGCGCAATATAAATTAAAAACCATCGTTTATTATATTAGTTATTTCGTCGCGAATAAGTGAAAAGATAAGCTCTGCATTTGCTGATTCTTCAGTCGTAAATAAATTTAAATCTTGCAAAATCATCGATCAGGCAGTATGTAAATACAGCCATCAAGTATATGATCCTATTTAAAAACGTTAACATTAATTCGTAGATTTGATGCAAATTAATATTTCCATCTAGAAAATTAATTAATTTAAGAATTTAATTATCTTAATTTAATGCTTTGTTAAAGCGGATTATAAAATTGGGTCGATTCATGCGTCATTTTAGAATTAATATAATTTAAATGTTACCTCCATTAATTTAATTTAAAATATTTTTTTAAATGAATAAAATTTGCTTTCACATTCAGCAGTGTATAATTGGAATAATTTCATAATGCACATAATTCCACTCATTCAAACGTGTTACTTTTCTACAGAACGGAGAACGGATCGGAGAACGTTGGTGAACGATCGCGATGGATAAGACTAGTCGTCGGCAAATAGAACAGTAATTTCGCTATAACTTCAAACAATCATCAGGTTGTGAAAAAACTCTTTATACCGCACTTATTATATACGTAACGAAAATATCTAGATTTACAGTTCAGCAGATTTCGTAGGCAGATAACGTTCTGACATTCTTACAAATGCGCTATATTGGAGCGCGTGCAACAATATAAAATATAATGTTTCACGCAAGAATAAAAACAGCCCCGCCGAACGCAGATCGATGTTTAACCCCCCTCCCCTTGCCCCTTGGTCTCGAAGAGCAGCGCGACGCGCGAAAGAATATTCGCGATTCCGTTCGGGTGTGTTCCAAGTAGGTTGGCACGGGCACACTCGCAAGCTCTGCATTTTGACCCAGTTCGCAGGCAGCTCTCGCAACCTTAAAACGAAACTGCCATGAGATCGCCAGAGTCGGTCCGCGATCGTCCTGATGCAGCGCGCGCGCGTCACGCGTGATTGCGTGCAATTTCGATGTCGCACGCACGATTTCCGGTCCCATTCGCGTTCTTTTCACGCTAAAAGCGGTCAACCGTGTACTGCGTAGTAACGATATCCGCACGAAATGACCCGAAAAAAATATAAAAAAACCGCGCCAAGCACACGCGCCCCTCGTTGAACCTAATTATTTTCTATGCAAAAAGTTCGTTATATGAAAGTTGGCCAAAAGTATTAGGCGCTTTATTAATCATTTTTTAATTTTTTTTTAACGTTTTAACGACACTGATGCGGTAAAGCGATTAATTCTATCCTATTTCTATCCAAACACCCGAGTAATACAATACAGTATAGTCGTTCGAGAGAGACACGTAAAAGGATTTCCTGATGGGAGAGAGACGGGAGAGAGGACAAATTTTCGGAAGCCGCGGTAGCGGCGAACCTGGAAGCACGCCTGCTATTGCAATCGCCTGTTATCGAATGATAAGAACGTAAATAGGAATGAATGGCTTCCATTCATAGATCGAGAGACGAATAGCGGCGTGGATATTATATGTCACCCGGAGAAATGTCGCGCGTGATTGCCGCGCGACGATTCCGATTCGTACACACACACACAGAGCTGTATTTATTCGCCACCCGAGACAATTGCCGTCTTAATGACGCTGTAACGAATAAGCTATTTTACACGCTATTCGCCTACGTCATCCTATAGTCTATATCCGATTAGTCTTTTCTTTTTCCTCTTCATTTTCACTGAGAAGACCGCCGCGTGCTGTATCTTCCTCCCCGTCTCCTCCCCTTCCCGTCTCTCTCGAGTAGAAGAACGTGTTCGAGCGTGGGCGTCTAACATGAAGTAGCCATTGAAACAGAGCTTACAGTTGTTGGCTCGCGACGGGCAGACGATATCGTGCCAACGGGCTCTCCTCAGTGAGCCCGCGTGACAACCACCATTCAGCTTGTGTCCGCGTGTATAAAAGTCCACGGTAAATCAAAACTCCGGTTGCGGTGAATCGCAAAAGGAGAAGAAGCGCAGCGTTTCTATGCGCTTCGGAGCGAATCGCTGGCCGGAATAATCAGGTTCTCCGCGAGGAGGCAGGATGCGGAGGAACAAAGAGGACGAAGTCCGAGAATCTTATCCGTATAGCATAGAAATCCAAAGCCTCATCGTCCCGCCACAGAGGCGCCGACACGCGAAAGATCTTTATATACCGGAAAATATATGCACACTCTCAAAAACATGGGTGCGAATTTACCTAATTTAATTTAATTTTATTATATTTTATTGCGACAGGACGGTTATGTGACGGTTACACACACGAGAATGGAGGTAAAAAAATGGAAATGAAAATAGGCAAATATAATGAGGCGTCAACATGATTATATACAGCTGTTAATTGTATGCCACCGGATAGTTTACATGAACACGTAAAATCAGAAAGAAGAAGAAGTAATTGCATTGCACACGTAATGTGATTCTCACACGTTGGTGCAGAGAATTGTAAAAATATTAATGCTGTTAAATTCATACCATTGGTGGTGTTCAAAAATTCTATATTTTTAGAATGTACTTATATACAATTACATTGCCTCGCACCTCGCGCGAACGAATGAATAGCGTGAGATAAATGCGATATACAATGTGATTCATCGCACGGCTGATTGGGGTGATTCACGAAGTTCTCGATCCCTCAGGTCGAGCTGCGAATAAATAGGTTCGCGAGCGAGATTGCGTCCGACTGGAGCGACCGGAGAGTCGTCGGGGTTGCATAATGTACGGATTCTCAGAAACATAGGGCTGTGGAATCTCGAATCGATGTATCAGCCTGTGTTCGCCTGATTTACTGATCCGATTATCGTTCGCGATCGCGCGCTACAAAGTGCAATACGTATTGCACAATACACATTACGATTATCACGCGCTCTTAAACGGGGGGGGGGAAGGGGGGGAAGAAAAAGAAATAAATACAGTCGCAGACGATAAGAGTGAGACGCGATCGATAATGCGGAATTTAAAGAATAAACAGAGAAACGCAATCCGAGAGATAAAGGAAGAAGTAGAGCTTCACGCGATCGTATCTTTCATGTGTGTACTTCTTGTTTTTTTCTCTCTTTCTCTCCACGAAAGAAAGTCCGGGAGCTCGGCGCTTATGCTCCGGTCCACGGTCTAACGAATGAGATCCGGCAACGCTAGAGAGATAGCGACACTCGAATCCAGAGCCAGTCTGCCCTTTCAATGTGCATCACACACGGCCGCATCGTCCTCCCCACCGCCTTCGCGTTCGCGCCCTTCGTGGTGCCGTCCGCAACGCGATATACATATATATATATGTATACGTACATACATGCACCTGCAGTAGCACCCTATCTATCTCCCTCTCGCATCTCCTAGTGTGGTACTACAATTTTCAGAACGTAATTTCGCCGCGTGAAGTAACAATGGAGCAATCAGAGGTCGCCAATTAACCGCAGTTATAATGTGCCACCATATCAGTCGGCAACTTTGCTCTAAACGCTTTTAATCGCCGCTCAATTGGCTACTTTTATATCTTTTAGAAACTGCAACTTTGAACGCGATCTATACTTAATGCTCTCACTTAATGCTCTCATGAAAAGAACGATTTTGCTGAAAGATCCTGAAATTTAGCTACACGGAAAGAACAATTTTACTAAATCCAGATCTGAAAATATAATTTTTGTTCAAAATAATTTTGTGCGAAAGTCAAAATAATTGATAGAATATCAAAACATTTCATAGCAATGCTCTTATCAGTTTTAACATTCCAACAAATTATTTTGATGATTCAACAAAAAATTATTTACAGATCTAAATTCAAAATTTTTAGACCTTTCAACAAAATCGTATAAATCTGAAAATAATTTTGTTGAAGCATTAAAATAATTATGTTGAAAATTCAAATTGGCTGCTAGAATATCAAAATTTTTTACTGCATTACTCATCAATATTGAATTTCCAACATAATTATTTCGATACAGTCCGACAAAATTATTTTCAAATCTGTATCCAGCAAAATCGTTCTTTCCATGTTCAAAGCATTTGATTGATCAATCAGAAAACAAAATTTGTACTAATTGTACAAAGAACGTTTCAGAATATTGAAATAAAAAAATGGATAAATGGACGTATAGCCTTTATCGACACTTTTAATCCCAATTAATGTTGATGATATATTTTAATTTTCATTATCTTTTAATCATCGTGTTATTTCAGCGAAATTACACGGAAGGAGAGAGGAGATAAGCTCAGCGGCTCTCCGACGCTCGAAATAATCCGTTCGTAAAGCTATTCCTCGCAGCCTGCGTTACCGTTCGAAGTGCTGGGATACGCCCGTTCGCAATAAAACAGTTTCGAGTACGCCCAGGCAAATGATCCTTTCGCTTCGTCAAGCGCGAGTCCGCGTGCAACGACTCCCCGGGGAACGTCGAACCTCGATCTTCTTTTAATCGTCGAAAGCCAGGCGGCCCGCTGCAGTGCGATCGCGTCCGGTGAGCGTCTCGATACACCTATCGCACACGTCGTAGAAAGCGTTTCACGTGTCACGAGGCCGCGAAGCGACTCGAAGTCGCTGTCTCGTCTCGATTCGAAAATCTTACGAGCCCCTGCCTACACGGAAAGAACGATTTTGTTGAAAGGTCTTAAAATTTTGCTGAATGCAGATCTGAAAATAAATATTGTTGGACCATAAAAAAGAAATATGTTACAATATCAAAAAATTTTGATACTCTAGCAATACCATTTTGCGTTTCCGACATAATTTTTTCGACGATCCAACAAAATTTATTTTCAGATATATGTATCCGGTATTAAAATTTATTTATATATTTATTAAAAATTTTAGATCTTTCAGCAAAAGATCTAGGAGAACGGTCGTTAATCCGCGCGAGCATGATCCCGAGTTATTAACGCGGAAAAAGATCTAACGTACGCACGTCGGATCTTTCTCTCTCTCCGGGAGAGAGAGAGAGATCCGACGAAATGACGTACGTACACGTGTCGCGCTCCTATCGGAGCACACGTGGCGTGCATCGCCTCGCCGCGGAGAACGCGAGAGGCGGACGAAAAAAAAAAGAAAAGAATATAGAATGGCACGGGGAAAAGTGCAGCAACGCGGGAGAAGGATGCGAAACGAGATACATATTATACTTGGCCATGTCAGACGCTTGGCCTTCCTCGCTGGCGCCCGGTCGCGGGGAGAGACTTTATTTCCAAACCAAACACTCTCGCGAGTTTGTATTTCTTTCCTTATAAATGGAAATTTAATACGCAACTACAGAAGGTTTCGTGCTGAACTCTGTGACGCATGGAGTTTGTTACTTGTATAGCGTGTCATGAAGGAGGCCTATACAATTTGCGCCTCTTACGTCTATTTCTATCGATACAGATCAATTTAATCTCGGTTTAACTTACTTTTTCTAGTGTCTATTTCTACCAACGTAGATTAACTTTAATCCAGGTTTAACTTACTTTGTATCCTTTTCTAGTTTTAAGAATTTGAAAAAGATAAAAAGTAAATAAAACCATGATTAAAGTTAATCGACATTGGTAGAAATGGACATAGTTCTGAGAATTAGAAAGGGATAAAGAGAGATAAGTTAAACCGAGATTAAAGTTAATCTGCAATGTGTACGGTGGAAACGAGCATTATATTTCTATCAATATAGATCAACTTTAATCTTGATTTAACTTACACTTTATTTTTTGTTGATCCTATAACTAGAAAAAGATAAAATGTAAGTTGTGAACCGAGATTAAAGTTAATCCACATTGATGGAAACGAGTATTACATCTATCTCTACCAATACAGATTAACTTAAATCTCGGTTTAGTTTACTCTTTATTTTTTTCTTTAATAATCCTTAGAACGCTGGCGAATGATGAAAAGTAAGCTGAACCGAGATTGAAGTTAATCCACATTGGCGGAAAATGGAAATGGATATTAAAAGCGCCGGGCCGGGCGGTTTGGGAATAAGCTCTTCGATTTGAGGCCGGCTCCGGGCGTCGCCGTGACTGCTTGCCAAACATCCCGCGAATGCGAGTATATTGTTACATATATACATATACCGTCGCGAATTCCGTCGCGTCATCGTACACACAACTGGAGAACGGAGTCGAGGACGGGCGAAGCTTTACCGCGCCGCTTCGTCGCAGGCACGAACGGCGATAAATAAGAAGAGAATATATGTACAGGTATATGTATTATTCGGATGCTCTCTCACGTGTGCGGCAGTGACGACGGCGGCGTCGGGTTTCCTCCAGCGACGGATTCCCATCGGTTTCTCTCCGCTACGCGCGCGCGTTCGTTACCACGCGGCGGCATGCATATGCGTCGTGTGCGACGCTCCGATTCCCGTGTGACAGACAGACCGATATCACGTGTGCGTGACGGCCGTTGATTATTAATTATCTGAAATTAATTTTCGGTACACAGTTATAGAAACTTGTGGCAAATCGTGAGCGCGCGCGTCTAATAATAATAAAAACTGCCGAATGCTGCACGTTCACTCGTTCGTCCGCGAGCTCGCTGCCAGAACGATCGCGGACGAAGATCGCCTGAGATTTTAACGTTAGACGCCGCGCGCGGCGTCTAGCGTCTCTTAATAGCCTCCCACAACTCCGCACCGCTACGATGAACTACTTCTGGCTATACGATAATTTCCCGAGATGTAACGGCGACTCTCGAAACCCCGGCCGAGAGGCGCGCGGATCCGTCCGTTTTTCTTCTCACGCGCGAAGGGGGATCTTCTGTACGCGGAAATTATGATTTTACTGAAGTGTCTAGAAGTATTTAGCGCAAGCTACAGATTTGAAAATAATTTTTAATAAATTATCAAAATATTAATAATTATTAATGAGTATAATTAATGAAAATTTTGGCATTCCTGCTGCTTTTGCATTACTCGAAATTTGTTTAATCTTAATGAATTATTAATGAAAATTTTGACATTCCAACAGCCAGCTTGATCTGCACACAATTATTTTGATGCGGCCCGACAAAATTATTTCGGACCTCGCTAAATTTTTTTCAACACTTCAGGCAAAACCGTTCTTTCCGCAGCACGCACCGCCGTTGTTTTCATGCGTGGGTGAATGAGAGAGAGAGAGAGAAGAGAAAGATCGATCAGCCTCTAGCCGTCGATGACCGCAAACGCACGCGTTCGCATCCCCGAGTCCGATATTTTTCCGTTCCTCCTCTTTCCTTTCCCGTTCTCGTTCCTCGTCCCCCCCCTTTCCGAGGACGGACGAGGTGAAGGACGACCGCGCAACTGGGATGCAACGACGAGGGAGAGAGAAAGAGAGAAGGACAACGCCCTAGCATGCACACCGCGGACTGGACTTCTCTCTATCGACGATCAACTCGGGGCGAAGGACTGGGGAGGCTGATGACGATTCGCGCGCGCTGACATTCTCGCTCCCCGTCTCTCGTCGCTCGCCGGGGATCGCGCTGTAAATGAGATAATCGAGAATAAGTTCTGCGATCGTTCCGCCAGGCGGAAATCAATTCCGGAGCACCCCCTCCCCCCCGCGGCGCACGGGAACAGGGGGAGGGGGAAGGAAGAGGCGCGCGGAGGGCTCCCTGGGACCCCAGGCGAGTCACGCGCACACACGCGCATATATACCACGCTTAAATAAATTACATATTTTACCAAGTGGAATAGGCTCTCCCGACCGACGTCGCTGGAGACGGAGGGAAAACACCTCTCGACTCGGGCTTGTCCAACACGAGGTGGAGAGAGAGAGAGGGGGAGAGAAAGAGAGAGAGAAGGGAAAACGCGTGAAAATGTGATTCAGCGCACATGTACGCGCTCAAATTAAATACATTACGTTCTCCGGACGGAAAAAAAAACCACCTCCCGCCCCTCGGACTTGCTTTTCCAACGGGAGTTGAATGGAAAATGCAATTTACGCGCGACAATCTTGTAATTTAGTCGTCGCACAGTACGCAATACAGAAAAAGGCCGTAATCGTTTGGCCGCGCGAGCAGATCGATCAGTCGCAATCAAAATTGCGACCTCGCATTTAACGTGATTCGACCGTGATTGAGCGATATGTTTACCGCCTTGTGGTTGATGATTGAAATTTTTTTTCACGTTGGTGATTCGGCCCTTAGCGGTGCCGAACCGAACCCAGGCGAAAAGGAGTAAAATAAATTCTTATTCGCGGTGCAGGGGAAGGGAGAGAGTTTCGCTCGGTCCTCGAAAGGGCATCGCGAGATTACGCGCGCCCCGCCGCGAATTCGTGTCAATTAAGAGACCGCGTTCCCGGGGGGAGGGAGGGAGAAACGCGGAATAGGCGCATCCTGGAACCTCCTGCCCGACGACGCTGCTCCGACTTGTGGCCCGCGCGCGCGAATCATCCACTCGAGGTCACTTCGTTGCGTTTACAGTTTTTAAAGGGAGGGCAGCCCTCTCCTCCTCCACTCTCTCGTCGCTTTTTATCGTCCGCCCTTGAACAAGGACGGGACGTGTTAAAGGGAAACAATAATTGCGCCGTGGTAAAAAAAAAAAAAAAGACGAAAAAACCGAAGCACCGGGCGGAAGAGCAGTCACCGATTGTACGTGACGTCGCGTGCGATAAAATCCAGGGTCCTTCCGCCCTAATGTTCCGCTCCCGTTCGCCGCCACGAGAAGGGACAAAACACGCGGACAGACGCTGGGGAAAGGGGGAGGGGGGTGTATTCTTGAATCTATATCGCGTATATGAAAATCCATAATACATACGTAATGTATACTTGTTGTATTTAACCCTCGTACGAAACTCCCGCGAGTAGCGTTTCGCTTCTCGGGCCGCGATTTGTTGCAACCGCGGCCACCCCAGATCGAGGGGGCTCGATTCACCGCGAAGGAGAGGGGAAGAGGGGAACGACGCGACGCGACTCGATGCGACGCGAATAAGCGTCGAATCCGCGGTCTAACCTTGGCTCGACCGGTCTCTCGGCTCGGCTGACTCCTCCGGATCCCGCGGCAGGTGGGACCTGGTGGGACCGCCTCGCGCGCGCGAGGTGCGAGGAATCGCGCGCCGAATCGCTATATGCCGCTCCGGCGCGGGCGGCGACGACGGGACCAGCTGATTCCGCGGGCGCCTCTCCCCGCGCGCGGGGAGGGTGAGACTCCGCCGGGAAGCCGCCTCGGGGAGAACGCCGCCGAGTTACTACTACACTTTCGGGCCGCTACTCACCGTCACACTCCGGACTCCGCGCGGGGTGCCGCGACGCGCCGCGCTCGGGGAATCGCGGACTCGCAGGCGGGTGACTCGTGACGACGACGCAAGGGATGCCGCTTGCCGTATCGTGATGGAGAAGAAAATAAAAAGGAGACGCACGGCCGCGCGAGACGGGCCTCCCGAATCTCGAACGACGCCAACTTGGCCGACCAGCCACCGAGCGTCCCGAGCGACGACTGATTTTTATCGAACCGCTCCGCGGGCGAAATGCGGCTCGCGCGCGCCGCGCCATCCCGCGGCGGCGCGGCGTGACACGCGACGCGACCACGGCGTGCAGCGGTAATGAAGATGGGCGAGCTCAGTTTCTGTTCTAAATAAAAATCTCTACATCTCGACCGAGAAAATTAAAATTGAAATCAAATAAATAAAACGGAATGGAAAATGCTGGACGAGATTCGGTGAAACAAACGTCTAAAGACTCATTGAATCTATAATTTTTGATTTTACAACCCTGTATATAAGCAGAGACCAATATTGTTCCATTATTGCATTAGTAAGGAAAATTATAAAGAAACTGAGATAAATCTAATTAAGTTTAATTTGTGTGAAAGGCAAGACTTTGCTGAGTGTTATGCTGACATGAAAACTTGTTGAACTAATTATATACATATATAGTTTTCCTAATCAAAAAATTAAATTATGGATGAAAATTTTTATTATTTTAATATAAATATATTTAATATATAAATAGTGAATCGCTGAAATTTTAATATAAATAAAGGTATTATACAAATTGTGAATTACATTCATTCACGGATTTCTATATAGTACAATTTGTGCATTCATTTCATTTTCCTAAAATCGCTATGACAGCACATTTATTTGTGCTATAGGAATGTGCTTCTTAATCGCGTCAGTAGTCTTTTTCGTTAACGTGTTTGTCCGGCCAGAAATCAATCACCGACACCTTGAGGAGACAATCTTCGTAGGAACAAGTGCTCACTAAGGTGTCACCGTTAGGTATGTTTAAACGCGAAACGTCCGGCTGCCTTAGGAACGACCAGTCACAGCCGTACGATAAACCGCTGTGCTCTTTATAATTGACAACGATCGACGATACTATATCATGATTAACGATCTTGAAACCATTGTGCATACAGGCGGCGAATAGATATTGCTGAGTAAATGGATCCCATTTCAAACGCCAGACTCCACCGTCGAGACAAATCGTCGATACTGGTCGCGCGAAATTTCTCGTGTCCCAGAGTCTCACGTTCTGGTCGTAACTGAAATATTTAAGCGCATACTGGTCGTTTGAAGAAAAAAACTAATCAAAAATGAATCATCGATTACAAATGTTGAGTGTGTATATTTATATTTTAAATATACATATATTTGTAATCTGGGATTCATTTTAGATCAGCTTTTTTTTAGTGTCATTTAATTAATATGTAGATTATAAAATAATTTATTACTTTAAGTGTGACAGTTTAAAAATACTGAAAGAGATCTATTATAAAGTTCATGAGGTCAGCTTCGTGAAAAATTGAACGTAGAAAGATCTTCGATCAACTTTCATTGTACATCTTATTTGAGGGGTCGCAAAAAGATTACTGAAGAATTCCTTTTACCTTCCAGTCGCGAGTAAAGATGTTTTGCCATGGATGGTGGTTACGCCGGCAGTGTGCTCCTTATTGTCAACTACTGGATGAGATCCCGTTCTGCTGTCGAAACATAGAAACCTATTATCGTCGCCTCCTGAAATTTACGAAACATTAATTTGCCGAAATTCTGTTGACTATTCTTACTTGAAATTCTAAAAGAAAAATTAATTAAAAATGATGAATTAAGAAAAAAACATGTTAAATTAACAAATTATTTAGATACATATAATACATATAATACAAAATCAAGTATAGATTAATTTCCATGTAAATTGTATCGTACCAGAATAAAAAATGCGTGAATTGCAATAATCATATGCGACGATCCACGCGTGGAACTGGTGCGCGGGCCACGTGAAGTCCTTCGTCAGCTCACCCGTCTCGCCCCACGTAAACTGAGAGATCTGTCCTGCGCTGTCGCTCACGAGAATATTAGTATTAACGACAGGCTCGGAGATGTCCTTTCTGTTGGACCAATCCAGAGATAACGCCATGACGCTCTCCTCGTCGCTGACCTTCGATTTCGTGACAAGTTCTATCCTCTTCCCGTCGTCCTTCAGCTGATAAATTTGCAAGTATCCCGTGGAGTCGACAACGGCGAGTAACACCCGGGTCTCCGCGACGTCCGTGACGTGCAACCATTTCATGTCCAGTACAGCTGAGGTGCACACTTGCTGCAGCAGTTCCAACTCCCCGCCGTTCCCTATGCGGAGCAGCAAGATCTGCCCCTGTCTGTATGTGGATTTTGCGCTAGATTCATTTTTATTTAACGCATACGTGCCGCACGCTAGCACGTCTCGATACGGCTCCATGGGACACCACTCGACGGTGTCCGCTGGAAATTTTGTATCAAATGTAGCCAAAGTACGCACGTGTATCTCGTCCTCTGCCATTTGTTTCTATTATCTGGAACAGAAGAAATTTCCGACATAATTTAGAGTTACGCCACATCAAATGATATTTAATAAATAATTAAGATCATATAATAAACTTACAAAATAGCGGCCGTATATTTTATTATAAATGATAAAGATATAGATATAATTGATTATAGATTATCATATACGCAAGTAAAAAAAATAAACATTAATTGTGAAATAAATGTATGGCGCGAAAAGTTATGCAGAGGAAAGAAATGAGTATATATCCAATATGAATATGAAATCGCAAACTGAAAGAAAAATTTGAGTCGCAAATGGGCGCTTAAACACAAAAACTCTTTTTTTTTAGTAAAAAATTTTATTTCGTTATAAATATTACACAAAATTTAAAATATAAGAACACAATACGTATCATTCTTGTTTGGGATTTCTCTTACATTTATCTTACGCATTATTATAATAGCAAATATTTTAAGCAATGTCGTATAATTACATATATATCGCAGATTATATATGTATAAAAATTCTTCTATAAAATTATTAATTATATTTGTATAATTAGAAACGCGGTAACTAACTCTTGTGTCTATATTTGTACCATTTGTATTATTTGTACTATAATTGTGTACATGTTATTAAGGCTTTAAATGTATCACTATTTCTGCAAACTGTATTTTAACTGTACTTTTTAAAAATAAATAAATAAATATTTAGACAGATGAGAAAAAACACACACATTGCATACAAGTTAGCCATAAAAAGTCTATTACAAATCAAGTTTAAAATAGATGATTATTACAGTGCTGTTTTTTGGCATATTTATCTTGGCATAGATATAATTATCTGTTTTATATAAGAGAGAGATCTTCGATTCCTCCACTTAGCATTCATCTATACGTATATTTACCCGTTAAAAGAGGAAGGTTATTTAATAGTTTTAATTTAATTAAATTTAGCTAAGTTGAGGTATTTGATAAAAATATTCTTAGTTTCGTTAGATTTCACTAGAATCCGTTACCATTACTGTAATTATCATCTTAGTTTATTCTTTATCTAGCGGTAACACATTACAAAATCACTTGAAATTAGTTTCTGTCTGATTTTTGTTTCTATCACAATGAAATAGTATCTTTCCAATTCAAAATTCTTTATAACGTGCGAGAGATAGCAGAACAATCTTTTGTTCAATTGCTGATTGCTCTATTGCTGAGCTATCTAATAATCCCAAATGTAGACTTACATAGAAAATACAGCCCGGGCCATAAGTATTGTAAAGTATCCCCACAATTAAATGTAAGCGTTCTACGAAAGAGAGATTTAAAAATAATTTTGTTGAAAAATATTTATTTTTATAACAATTTTAATTATTCTTTTTAGGCTTTTATTGTCGCCTTTTCCAAGAAATTGCAATAAATTGAGAGCGCTTATGGCTAAAGCTGTATTTGAGATATTTGCTTAAATATATGAACACATAGTCCTTCTTGATATTTAGATTTTTGATATTCAGGGATATTAGATAGGCTTAGCTAACAGAGGCTCCATATGATTCCACGTAACAATGGTTAAATATTTACTTTTTCGAGGAAACTAGATTCAATTTGAGTCTCTATGCCATAAATGTCTCAAATTTCTCCACAAAGAAACAAAAGGTATGAAAATGTTCAAATCTGAATAGCTTAGAGAAGATTGTTGAAGCTACCTCCGTACTCTATTTTTAGCATGCCACCAAGAACTTTGAGTGAGCCCGAAGCATGTTAGTTTTCAAGATAGAACAGAATACTGTTGATGATACAATCTTCGATGCAATAAGTACTATAATCCTAAAAGTGTATACTTGCATCGCTACTTGCATCGTTACGAACAAAAAAAAACAAAGAAAAAAAGAGAGAATTTTCTACGCGAGCGACGTCGCGTAATCGTCACGGAGAGCAGGTAGCGTATCATTGGCACGATTTCCTCGCGCTTTTCGTGGCCTCGGCGCGGCACTGCTGGACCAGGCAGCACGCCTTCGCGATGTCGCGCTCGACCCTGGGCAACGTCTTCTGTATGTTATCGCCGGTGTAACAGAGCTTAAGGTCGCGGCCTAGCTGCTCGATGGCTCGCAGCAACTTTACGTATTTCGATTGAGCAGGCACGGTGGATGATATCGGCGCGGTGCGCTGCGAGACCGCCCTCGGATCCGGCACCGTCAGCAGTGGTTCCATAACTCTCGCCGTCACCCCCACGTTTTTGCGCTGCTTTGTCATCATCTCCGGCGGGGAGGACGAGGGAAGAGGCTGCGCGTTTCCCGTTTAGCTTTTTTTTTTTTTACAACAACCTTGAGAAACAATCGACAGTCTGATCAGGCCACGCGTGGATCATCACCCGGGGGCGGCGAGCGAAGGGAAGACGGTATTAGAACGAAACGCAAACGCTAACCTTCAAATTAATGTATGCGAGAGAGAGAAGTCCGCTGGAATTCGCGTCGACACGCTTACGCGAGTGTCGCTACGTCGAAGCGCGGCAAGCAAAGCGGGCGTCAAGATTAATGTATGTGTATTATAAATACCTATTAAATTAATCTCCCTTTTTCACTCTCAAATCTCATACTCGTGATGCGCGTCTCGCAACGGGAGCGTCTCTTGCCTTGTCAAGCCGCAAGCGTAGCCACCGACCACGTGGGTGGTTACTACTCGAGCGCGATGATTGGTTTATTTGCGTTACTGGAAATTCACCAAAGTTTTTGGACCTACCAATCAGAGATCCGTTTTCTCCAAAAGTCTAAATTCAGTTGTTTTCCGAACGCATCTGATGTGCGCTGTCTCTTCCGGCTTCCCATAACCTATATTGCACCGCGAACCGCGAGGCACGTGAGATTGTTACAGCGTGTTGTTTTGATTGATTCGAGAAACATGAAAGTGAAGAGAGAAGAGGCTACGGCCAAGAAGTCGGTCTTGCAAAAAGTTGCCAAGAGCAAGCAGAAGGCGTCGAAGCCAAAAGCAGGGGCCAGCCTCGAGAAAGCTGTGAAAAATGTCAAGCAAATTTTCAAGGTATCGACATAACCTCCTTCGGTAGAAAACGAACTTATCCTTTTTCTTATTCTACTTTTGTGATATTTTATAGTTATCCGATTATTTTTAATGTATTATATATATTTGTAGTCGCTAATTTCTATTACTATCATTGACTATTATTAGCTTATTAATTAATAATCATTATAATGATTGTTGCCGTTTTATAAATAAAGAGATGTTAGTTTTGATAAAATTCTTAACACGAATTTGCATTTACTTGAATAGTAAATGTTTATTATACTTAGCAATGAATGCTCTTTTTTTTTGTAGAAAAAGAGAGCAGAGGCTAAAGCAGAGAGAGCCAAGAAAAATAATAAGGCAAGTTTAGCGAGACCGAAATCTAAACAGTTCAAACCGCGGAAATCAAGAAATAGGGGAATAGTCTACGTAGGACACATACCTCATGGATTTTACGAGGAACAAATGAAGGAGTATTTCCAACAGTTTGGGAATATAACTCGCCTACGAGTGGCAAGATCCAAAAGGGTATGCACACGATTAGACGGATCGTTAACTATTTCACATCTGCACTGTATATAATAAGCTTTTTAAAAAAATATATTTTTAGACCGGCAAAAGTCGCGGCTACGGCTACGTTGAATTCTTTCACAAGGAGGTTGCTAAAATTGCGGCGGACACCATGAACAATTATCTCATGTGCGGCCGATTATTAAAAGGTATTGATTGATTTAAAATTGTGTTGATATTATTGATTGATTGTCTTCCATTATTTATGAATACGTATTTTTCCAGCTACGTACATTCCACCTGAGAAACAGCACACAGGATTTTTCTCGGGCGTAAATTGGTCAGAAGATAGGTATCCCAGACTCAAAAACCGAAAACGGGAATCGCTAAATAGGAACCGTCTGCAAAGCGATGAAAATTACGAGAAATACGTTCGAAGATCGCTCGACAAACTGTCCGCGTTGGAAGGTAAACTGCAAGACAAGGGGATTAGCATAAAATTTCAACCAGTCGATGTGCCGAGTACGTAACGAACATTTAAAGACGTAACTTAGCTTTACTTTATTTTTAGTTACTTTGTAATAGGTTTTTTTTGATTGCATTATTTGCGTTAAATAAGCAATAGGGATTTATCTGCGCGATACGAGACTACAGTATATCTGTGACACTGTTAATAATAAAATTTCTAAGCTTCTGCGAATGACTTGCATCTAATATAAATTATGTACAATTAAATCTAAGTGTACTGGATTAACGCGCTCGAGAAAAATATTCGTCACGATACGATCGTCGCTTCCTGTACGTTCGCCGTGCTCCCTTTCGTCCGCTTCCATTTCATACGCCTGTTCTGAAACCACACTTTCACCTGTAAAAAAATGTAGCTTAACGATGAGAAGATATAAAAATTCTATATTTTTTACTTGATTGTAAATAATGTACCTGGCGTTCTGTCAAATCCAACGCTACCGCAATTTCGTAGCGGCGCAAACGTGTCAAGTAATTACTATGAGCGAATTCGCACTCGAGATGTCGGACCTGTTGCTTCGTGAACGCGGTCCTCTCCTTTCGCGGCTTATCGCTTGTTTTCTTCGTAGTTTCTGCAATCAGTAGAACAAAAATGAGAAATTTCAGCAATGCATTCTATTCGGATTAGCAAAGTCCACGAATCCTACACGCGAATACGTGATACCTTGATACCGTCGAAGAGATATATGCCTTAAATTTTAATTGGTTTCCTATTCTTATTTACGCAAAAAAATATATCAATGCGATTAAAGCTCTGTATATATAGATGGTAATACAAATCGGTAATTTGGAATAAATGTTGACGGGAATTTAATTGTACTACTCATGTCAGGATGATAATGGTAGAATTTACAATGACAATCCTTACGTTTCAAGCAGCTGATATATGTTTGATTTTCAGTATAGAAAACATAATAAAGTGGAATCAAGAGAAAACGGGTTTATGCTGGCTCTCTTTTTAGAACACCCTCTTTAGATAATATCAGTTCAGACTTCAGATGCGAGCCCTTCCTCTCCCCCCCCCCCGTTCACGTTAACAGAACGGTCCAGTTTCATCTCGGATGGTGACATAACGCCGCTCATCATCCGGCTCGATCTTCTTGCCGCATGGTCTTTCCGCGGCGAAGATTTCGCGGCTCGTCAGCGACAAAAAGTCGCCGGCCGCAGATGAAAATAGCCGCGTGTGTACGATGCGTCAGTACGCGTTGCACCGCGATGCACCCGCTTGCGAAAGTGAGCCGCTTTTGCTGGAAGCGCGGTCTCTACCGCAATGCGACACCATGGCCGCCGCAGAGAGGCTCTCCTTTTCTCTCTCTCTCTCTCTCTCTCTCGCTCTCCCGAGGCCCTTAACTTTGCTTCCGTGCCGCTATCTCGACTCTAATTGCCAGCTGACGTCAATCGTGGGATCCTCTCGTAGTCCGCGGCCCGCGCATCGATGGCCACTATCGCGAGTAATAACGCGAGGGCAACATCAAACGAAGTAGCCAAAGCCAACATTTTCATTCTACCAATTTGCAAATTCGAGATAACGCATATTGATGTTTCATATGATAAAGGTATGATATATGTATTATTCCATAAATTGAAGCGTTTCAATTAGATGATTTATCGTGTTTTAAAGTAAGTATTAGAAAAATCTCTAAACGAACAAAGAAATCAATATTATGTCATAAAAAGTTATGTTGATATGTGAAGTAAAGATGTTTAAAGTAAAAAAAGCAATACGTTTTTTCGCGGAATCAATTTTTTAACGATTATGCGCTTCCTCCTCCCCCCGACTTGAGTCCACATATCACTTATAATACTTTCCTTAATTAAATTTTGAGTATACAATAATGTTAATGTAATGTTATAATATGATAGTCTAGATGTTGGATTTCTAATAAGAAAAGAAGTACATTGATTTTAATTGTAGTTTTATTGGCGATTTCTTATTTGTTCTATTCAGTTCATGTCAGAATTCGACGAACGGTTTTCGACGTAAAAGACTTATTTGTTATTAAGCAGCATAGACGGAGTACATTAAATATCAGCGTAACAGCGAAAGATACCGTGACGTTTTACCATTCAAGATGTGTACTAGCTCAGTTAGACGTCTGATAAACATTTAGATTGTACTGGGCCTGTTATGGCCGCATTGGCGACACTAAAGACATAAAACTTCCAACTGTATTGTCAATGATTTACGTCAGAAATCTGTCGAAGCTATGATGCGAAATGTTCCAAGCTAATTTCATCACGCACAGCTGTGCACAGCTATTAGAATTTTGTACAACAACGGATTCATTATTGCTTCAGAATAATTGGAACAGAATTAAAATCATTTTCCAACAAGTTGCAGTCAATTTCTACCTGAGTGGAAGCTTTTCTTTACAGAATTTCTTTAATATAATTTTAATCTAATAAATTTCAATATACGTTTTATTTTTAAATGCAATTTTATTTTAAAAGGCAATCTCTTGGGGTTATTAATGAAAAAAAAATGCATTACCTCGTTCTCGTTGATGCGGACGTGTATTTTCTCGGAAGAGTGAATTCGCACGATTCTCGTTATGTTGCGAATCCTGCCAAAATTGATGATACTTGCTCTCGTACTCGTGGTCCATGTTCTGCAGATGGGGCATCTCCCAAGTGTGAAACATCGTCCCCGCGTTTGTCGTAGTCGTCACACGGCGATCTTGATTATTCTCGTAAAACAAATCTTCAGATTTACTCAAAAGCTTCTCATCTTCCTTCCCATTTAATTGCTCGATGATTATCGGATGACAATCTGCGGCATCTTGCTGGGAATATTGCTCCCATCTTAAAATGAAAATTAAACGTTGTTACATTCATTTATATGAATCGTAATATGGTAATTGCACGATCTAGCTTATATGATATAAAAATTCATAAACTTCTGTTTTAAGGTAATAACAATAAAAACTTTGAAAGCGTCTACTAATCGTATACAATAACTAATTAATAATTATTAAAAGGTATACGTAATTTTACAAATTACGAGCAATATTCGTTTTTTATGAAGATAAGATATTTTTGAATAGATAGTTTTTAAAATGCGAAAAATATATATTTTTATAAATATAATAATAAGATCATAATATTTCAGTAACATTATAGTGCAACTAAAATATGCTCTTTCAAAGAGTTGTCTTTAAAGTATTTCTTATTTCGACTAAATAAAATACTTGAATAATAATAGATAGAATATTACAAGAAATGTTAATTACACGTTAAATACGCGTCGCGCATCCCCATTAGATTTTTATACATCATATTATTGAAGTCTTACCTGCACGTGCGATAATTCTGATTGCTGTCGGTGCTTTGGAGAAAATTCACGATGTAAGGCGGCGAGATTAAACGAGCGGTCTCGTCGGTTGCAACGTCGAGTCCGCTGCAAGGATTCGACGGGGTGCTCCAGGACCACCTGTGGTACCACGGTGTCTCGCAACCTGTTGCTGACCTCGCTTTCGGCCCGTCCACATGAAGAGACGATGGCGTCGGCGGTGTCGGTGGTAATTCGAAATTGTCCGACGTCCGATGGCTGTTCGCAATCGTGTCTTTCGGCCACGACATAGCACCGAATGAAGATTCCGACTGTTTCAACGTGCCAGTTTGCGAATTCTTTATACGACTCTCTTTTCAGAGGATTGATGAAGAAAAATTGATAGAAGAAAGCAAGCGCAAATATCTGTTCGGAGAAAAAATTTTTTTTATTGGACTTTTATAAAAAAAATTAAATATTATATGGTCTTTTTCTTTTATATTTCCTTGCTCGTATTTTTTCGCTTTTGTATCTACTTTCTCGATAAGATTGCGTAAAAGACTCAAGTTGCGTTAAAATACTTCTACTATTTCATGTAACGTTAAACAGATCACAATAGATAATATCTAGCAATTGTCACTACATCTCGTTAACAAGCGAGCACAGGTTCACCGTAGAATCACTCCGCGCGCGGAATGGATGCGAATTGCGTTAGTGCCCACTCGGAAATGTCAAAGCGAGCACATGTGACGGCGCCGTCATAGGGCAGCGAGAATGTCATGGAGAACCGCCGAGAACGGTCGGTGGAGAGTCGTAGGAGTAGGGCCACGGAAGCTCTCCGGAATCTTCTTCCACGTTTCCCTCGGTTTTTTGGCCAATCCCCGAGCGTGAATCGTTCCTCGCGACCAAAGTGGTTGGTCGGCGTTTGCGAAAGAATTCGAAATGGTGACACACGAGGCGGCCGCTTAGGTTTTTTGCTCCGAGCTCTACATTTTTGTCGGGGATTAAGAGAATTTTTATACGACGAGTGTGAAGCATTGTTTTCGCGAATTATTTTTATCCGCGAATTATTTTATACCGCTGAGTTTTCAGTGATGTGTTTCTATGGGTGTCAAACTTTAAATCAGTAACTGTAATAGTCAATTAACAATAGAATATATTATATTCCAGATAAATATAATATATTTTAAAATCTATTTTAAACATCTAAAAATCTACTATGAAAAGTTAAAATATATTTTACATGTTTTTATAATTCTTTTTTTTGTTACAAAACTTGCAATTTTCTTCAAATTGCTTAAAATAAGATAAAGACAAATTATATTAAAATTAGTTTGCATTTTTATCAAAGTATAAATACTTTTAATTATATTAATTAATATACATTTGTTTTTATATATCTCATTTAGCACCATCGTTCAAACGTGTGATTTCTAGGTTTCTTTCCCCATTTTCGAAATACGACGCTAACTTCCGACTATAAGACAAGTGTGTCATGCTGTATTAGAGAGGAAGAAATCATTCGTTTCAGTTGTCACAAATCATGTTAAAATTTTTTAAAATTTTATTAAGAGAAAAGAAAGTTATCCTGTATATAAATTACTTTATATACAGGATAACTTTCTTTTCTCTTAATAAAATTTTTAAAAACGAATGATTTGACTTTACTTTCAATACTATTTAAAAAGAAAGTCGATTGTTATTGTATTTACAAAATAACTCTTGCAATTATTAATTTGTCAAAATCTTTAGTTCTTTAGCCGATTAATAAATTTAATAAATAGATTTAATAAATAGAATTATAGAATAGTCAATAAAATATCGAATAAATAAATAATAATTATATGTTGAAGATTTTAGGAAAAAATTTAATACACAATTAGTTGACATAAATGTGAACACATTTTCAACCCTCGCATAAAATAATTTAAACAATATATGACATAATATTGGAGAAATTAAATTTTCATGGCATATATATTAATACCGAATGACTGATTCTTCTCATTAACGTTAACAGTATACTTTTCTTATAACATACAAATAATAAATAAATAATTTTATATAACTTAATTGTTGTAATTGAATTGTCACATTAATATTTAATGTTAAGAGCACAAGCTTAAGTATTTAAATGCAACCTTCCTATCGACCGAAATCGACGGAGGTTAAAAAGGAAGATGCGAAGAAAAGAAATGAAGCTGTTTTCTTTGTCGAGCCGAATTCATTCACTAATTCGTCGTCGGTGTTTCATTGAGGATGGCCATTACTCCGTCAACGAGAAGCGTAAGTCAATCTCGGTAGGGGCCCACCTAAGAAAACACAGGGGTGGTAGAGAGCGATGGGAGAGGAAAGGGGCGAAAAGTGACGGCCGCGCGAGAGTGAGAGAATGGGTGGATGGGGCACCGGCCGGGGGCCCCCGACGCGGCGCGGAGCGGCGCGGCGGCGTTTCGAAGGGTCGAGTCCTTCTCGAGAGGGTCACGCGTCTCCATTAGTCATCAGCATTGTTTGGCTTCCTCTCTCAAACGCTTTGCACCCCCTCCGAATGCGACTCACACGCGTGCACGAATGCCGAAAGAGAGACGCAACGAGAGCCGGGGTCCGCCACCTTCGTCGAGGCACTCAGCTTTCTCTCTCTCTCTCTCTCTCTCTCAGACACAGGAAGCGAGATTCCCTGAAACATGAGACACTCCTTACAGCCGTGAAGCGGTGCCGAGCGGTCTGTGTGGAACGCCTGCTCCCGCATGCACTTCAGGAAACGCACTTCCTGAATTTCACGTCTTGCATCTCGATCCTTTCCAACGTCGTTCATACTAGGTCAAAATTGAACACGTTTCAATTTAATTGGCAAAGCTAGAATTATGTTGGACCTGATCAAATTATTTCAGTTTCTTTATAAACGAACTTTGAACTTCAATTTTATTTAATAAACTGAATTACTGAAGAAACCACAAGAGATAGAAGCTCCATTTTCTCACGAATATTATTTTTAAAGAAAGATGTTTGTAGAGTAGACAATATCTCATAAGCTGAAGCGTTTTTTTTTCGTGAAATCAAGTTTCAAGTGGGATGTAACAAGAAAAAAGTAAAATCCCACAATGAACACTTGCCGCGGACTCAGTCAAGTCTTCAGCCCGAGTATAAATCCAGTGAGTGTAGGTGTCTGGCTTTCTCATCAGCAGCCGAGCGAGGATTCTCATGCAACTGACTCAAAAGTTAGACGCTAATGCCGACGGCCGTAGTCGCAGCACATTAAGCATACATTAGATACCCACGATCCACGTGTCTCTTGCGATTATTCAATCGGTTTACTGAACGAATAAACTGCCTGATATACGCAAAAATCATGGATAACTACAAATTAAATGGTTAAATAATTAGCCATTTAATTTAAAATTTAACAAAAAGTCATTTTATAAATTATGAAGAATCGCGATAATTTAAAGGTTACATTTCGCTCATATCATTTCAGAATTTCTATCATCAGTCTATGCAGTTAAAATAAAATAGCAAAGGACCTAAAATGTGTAGCTGATTAATTAACGTAATTGTTATATTTTTCAGGTATCTAATTAAACGTTCATTTACCTCTGCAGCATATTGCTTGTATTTTTTTGCAAATTATTTTCTGGTACCAGCCAATACCGTCTGCTTCGTCCGCGATGATTAATGGACGAAACGACCCTGAACTTCCCCTTCGACTATTTACCGGAAGCCTATAAATTATAAAGCGCGCGGCGCCGCTCGTATATTCTTGACGACGCGTTGCATAACGAGAGACACGCACTCGTCACGACGGTCCGCGAAAAAGTTTCCAGGCGAATGGCGATCGACGCTAAACGTCGGTGTAAAGTACAGACGAGGGAAATGGTGTACAAGTGTCTGCCGGTGTATTTTTGGCGGGCGTGTCTGGCCGAATCGCGAGGCCCTTGACGCGTTTTCTGCTTTTCGGACGCAGTAGCCGCTAAGTTAGTCGTGGTGATGTTCGTACGATCGCTAGATCCTGCGGGAGCGTAGCAACCCCTTCGCCGACGAGCTATGGAGGACAATCCAATGCAAGGTAAAGGCAGGAGAAATTCCGTGGAAAGAGGAACTTTGTTGAAAGACGTAATCTGTAGATGTGCATCTGTGTGACGTGCGACACGAGAAACGAACATTTAAGTGATTTAAGATATTTCAGTAGAGTTAATTAATCGGTTAAATAATCGGTTGACAATTTGTGCACGGTATTATTAAAAGAATCGCAGAATTTTTATTTTTATTTTCGCAAAAATAAAGCTAATACGGATAAATCAAAGGCGTATCACATTAATTCATTAATTCTAATCGAAGTTAGAGTAACAGATATATCATTTGAGATATGAAATTGAAAGCTGATCGCTATGATCTTTGATGTTACTCTTATTCTACCCTTACTTCATTGAACAAATATAAATGAAATTTTGTGAATAATGGAAATATGCTTCAGAAATTCCGGCTTACGTTAGGCATCGTGGATCGCACGTGAGAACGCGAGTCGCGGTGATGATACTCATCTGCGTCGGATTGATGATTATTTACTGGTTCGTCAGTTCGAGCATGGAAAATCGGCGGGATGGTAGACATAGGGGGTCGACCGGTGGGAAGTCTCGTAAAATGGCCCATTTGGAGAGGCTGTCCGATCAGGTTTTACCGTTAGAATACACGTAAGCACGACGATCAATATATCTTCGATGATCTTTTCGATCATTGATCACTGAAACGCCGCAAACGATTTAAAAAAAAATTTTTTTTTTATTCGATTTTATTGCGATCTTTGACTGCTTTCTTAAATTTTAGAAAATTTTTCTAATATTAAAACTAGCGTGGTAAAAAAAGGAAGCGCTATTTTAATACTTCAATATACATGACGTTTGAATTAATGTGTGTGTTTTCTCTTTTTATCTTATATTTAAAGTCGAGATAATTTATTATATTGACAAGTTTGTCACTGTGGTTAGTTAATGACTGACGTCGACTTCTCCGTCCACGCCACGTATCTATCATCGATGATTGACGTTACAGACTTAAGCTAAAATATTTGCAGCACTTAATCTCACTTGCCTCACTTGTCAGACTACGGCTAGAATTAATATTAGAAACTAGGCACTGCAGTGTAACAGCCAGAAATTAGAGCAAATAAAATAAAATTCGAAGCAAATAAAATAATACAAAAAAATGTCGACTTCTATCATTTCTTTCTTAATGTTATGTTACCAAGTTTTTTCTCTCTCCTCGCTACAGTTTGAAAATATTGCCCATATTAGAAGAAAAGAATTTCACGATGATCGGCGACGTGGAGATTCAGTTTTCTTCCAAATTACCGACTAAGCACATACGACTTCACGCTCGTAAGCTCCTCATACAAGACATTAGCGTGAGGGAATACCGCTCGCCGAACGCGCCGAAGTTAACGAACATGTACGTCGTAAAGGACGAGGAGGACTTCATCGACGTGTTCCTTCTGCATGTATTGATAGCGAAGGAGGTTTACATTTTGCATATAAAATATACGATCCCGTTGCACGAAAATCCGACGGGACTTTTCAGGAGCGCGCACGTCGACCGTGATACGAACGAAACCAGGTATTACTTGATTTGGTGATCAAAGATTTGGTGGCAAAAGTGTAATGTTCAATTTAATTTAATTATATATTGGCTTCGATGATAAATGTAATTAACGCAATTAACGTAATTAATGTAATTAACGTAACTCGCGTTGCACATCCACATGCTGCGAAAGCGAACGTCTCTTTCCAGATGGATAGCGGTGTCGAACTTCTCCCCGGATTACGCTCGGACGGCTTATCCGTGCTTCGACGAGCCGTGGATCAAAGCGCCGTTTCGCATCTCGATCGGTCGAAAGTCTGACATGCGATCGCACTCGAACTCAAAGCGCAATTTCACCGAGGAAATGTAAAAGAAAGCGATTGAATTGCAATTGTAACATACACATACGCATCGCTAATCGCATCCGCCTGACCGCCGCGATGTTCTTATAGTCGTGTATATAAAACGTTTTTTAATTAGAGAACAATCCGAGTTTAATCCAGATCTTCCTTTTCTTCAGACGCGGCATGCCGGGATACGTTTGGGACCATTACGAGAGAACTTTCCCGATGGCCACTTACGTGGTCGCCTTTATGGTCACTGATTTTTCGAGTTACGACGTCGCCGTCGCCGATCGACCGTCGCATACGATCTATTTCAGGAAAGAGATCGCGAACGATACGAGATACGTTGGCGACCTGACGTCGAAGGTTCTCCGTGTGATACAGAACCTTACTAGATTTTTTTACGAATTAGACAAACTGGACGTGATCGTGATTCCTAACTTAGCCTATGCCGCGATGGAAAACTGGGGCCTCATAACGCTCCGGTAAATTCGATAATTATTTTTCTGACAACAGTGCAACCTTTTTGTAGAAAGATATTACGTGCAACAAGTAGAATTATCTTCTTCAAGTATGATTTCGAGTTTTTTTCTCGACAATTTCTGATTACAATTCCTTTAGAACATTGTTTTCCTCAGTACAGCAAACTAATTAACAGACTTTTATATTTAGATTAGATTAGGATAACACTAATTAGTTATATTGGAATTTTTAGAGAAGACTTTATCTTTATAAGGAAAGATAATATTACTGACAATAGATCCAAAAGGGAATTGTCTATTATCGTGGCACACGAAATCGCCCATCAATGGTTCGGCAATTTGATAACGCCAAAATGGTGGGACGAAGTATGGCTGAAAGAAGGATTCTCCGAATTTTTCGGATTTCTAGCGTTAAATGCGGTAAAATCGATAAATAAAATTCTGAAATCGCGTTAGTTTGAAATTTACCAATAATCTTCACGTAACAATTTTGTCATTTAAACTTATATTAAGTCTTCGAGCAATATCTTAAATAGAAAATTATTTTTTTTAAGGAAAAATTGGATTTTATTAATATATTAATATTATAAATATTTAGTTTTACACAAAAACTATATAAAATTTTGCAAAGCTGTAGGAAATTAAAAAGAAAATCGATAGATGATATTTTCATTATAATAATTTTTTTAATAATTAATTGATAATTTTCTCCGACATCATGATTTTATCGTATTTTATTAATTTTATAAGAATATTAAATTTATCGTTACACAATCACACACGGTGTTGGATTTATCAGACGGGCCGTGATTAACTCGCTTAATCTTCCAGCTTGAGCCTGCATCTTGGGACGTGCAGGCCCATTTCCTGATCGAGTGTCACCGCGTGTTTGACACTGACGCCGGCGAAGCGGCACACCCGTTGCACATTGATCTCGGAAAACTGAACGGGCTCACCGGCATCTTCGATTCGACGTCAAGGGTAATTTCGTACATCAAGGGTAATTGCGTGACGCACATGATCTATCATTTTCTGGGCGAGCGGATCTTCTTCTCGTCTGTGCGCCACTACATGCGCATGTACCACTATCGCAACGCCGATCAGGAGGATCTCTGGAGCGCTTTTCAGGTGGAGATCGATGGAGCGAACGGGCTACCGGCTTCCTCGGGGCTCCGCATGAAGGACGTTATGCGAACTTGGACGTATCAGGCCGGCCTCCCTGTCCTGCACGTCCAACAGAACCGCGAAACCGGTGCGATCGAGCTTACGCAGGTGCGCCAATGTTTATCGCAGATCGATCTCCAGGCGCGTTTCTTCATCTTGTTCCGTCGACGACAAATTATTTATCGATGGAATGCATTTACGACGATATTAATCATCGTTATTCTGTTAACGAGAGGAAAAAAAGGAAGGTTTTTTATGTGGTTTTACTTTACGAATAAATTATTCAGAATGCCTCGATTTCTTTCGCATCCTTCGATTAATCTGGAATCAATTTTTTTTAAGCATAAATTTGATGAGTTCCATATTTAACCGTGGCATTTCAATTTTTCCAATTAATGAAGCTTGTATTAAAAAAAAAAATGTGTCAATACAAATATTATTTTACAACAAATGAGGTATACATGTATATTAAAAAATTAATTTTTTTAGTTAGAAAATTATTATGAATATAATTGCTAAACACATCGATAATTTTGACTGCTGTGACTGTGTAATTGACAATTTCTTTCAATTCCAATGTCTTCTTACATACTTTGTATGTTTATTCGTGTTGTAAAATTATAATTTTTTCGTATAAAAATTGATGAGAGGGAGTATGTAAAACATTAGATATCCTCTATAAATAAATCGCAATTTATAATCTCCGTTAATGCCATAATAAAGCCATTATGAGGTAAATTAAATAAAGGAGTAAGATATAATTATGAAATGTCTATGGCGCAGGTCGATAAAAATTGCGTCGATTATGCGATGTTTGTGTTTTCAGGACCGATTTTATCATTATGGCCTAAATAGTACGAGCGAAGAGTTATGGCACATCCCGTTGACGTGGACAACCGAAAATGAACAGCAATTTAGTAATACCCTGCCGAAGGCATGGATGGTCAAGAAACGCATGAAAATTAACGACATTGCTTTGAGCCGGGCGACTTCCAACAACCAGTGGATTCTGTTCAATATCAATCAAACGGGTAATATCACTGACGTAACGTACGCCGATCAATTAAAGAGATAATTTACCAAGTAATATTTTTACCGACAATAACTATAGTGTCGAACAATTTGAGAACAAACCCGAGCCACTTCATAAATTCATAAAGAATTTGCTTCACATATACGGTGTCCAAAAGTCGCAATATTGCTATCACACATTGCCGATATTAGAAGCTATCAAGAATAGCTTGTTGTTTATTATAATGTCGAGCGAAAGATTAATAATGTATTAACTAGAGTATTTTTTTTTTTCGAATATCGTCGCCGCTTATCCACAAGACTATTTATACTAAACTTAACGGTTTATCTCTATAATCGTCCTGTTATTTGCAGCGTTGTATCGTGTCAACTATGATGCGGAGAACTGGAAATTGTTGACAGAGTCTTTCCGAGCTTTGCCGGAAATAACTAAAACGCAGGTGCTGACCGACTCGGTGGCGATGGCTAACGCCGGACTGCTTGATAAGAGAATCATGTGGAATATTCTTGAGAAAATGGAAATGGAAAGTGAGGAGATATTATGGACACCCGTGTTGAGTTTATTGACCAACATCCAGGATCAACTTTGGAACTCGAGCTTGTTCGAGGTAAAAATAATATTAATAGTCGAGGCTATGCGTTTACACACAATATTCAAACGATATGAAGTATAATTTTTCTAATTATAATCAACCATTTTTACGATTCGTTAGACGATCATAAAACGGCGAATTCTTTAAATTTCTCTCTACGTTCTCTAGTTGCAATTCCGTTAACCTCACTCGTCCTTGTGGCCCAAGTAGATTTGCGCGAGATTGCAAAGGCGAGCACATTTTCTTTTATTATTAATTTATACGGCCGCGGCGCGATAAAATATGCGAGATATAATCGACGTCGCGTCGCGCGATCTAAATCGTCCGCTACGCAGTTCTGGCTTATGTCGTTATTACGCGCAGTTAAGGCTTAAGTATGGCATTATAAAGCATATGATTATCCCTGGGACAGATATATAAGTGATCATCGGCCCATCGGCCGTCGTTACGATTCGACGTTCTCAATTAGGTCGGAGGACTCAATCATTATTTGCACCGAAATACGAGGCACGTAACATTTAATTAAGCACTCGCGCCGACCAGTGTTGCCGTAACAGTTCCCTTTTCACAGAAGCCATTATTGCAAAAATATACGAGAGAGAGGAGAGGCCTCCACCGCGAGTCCCGAGAGAGGCGGGCCTCAGCCGCGGTTTCTTCAGGCGTTCCACGTCCGTAAACCTAACGTGCCAAATTAAATAAATATGTTGGCGGCGTATCTCTGCGTTTTAATCCACCCGGTTTATTGCTCGTAAATTCTGGATAAATGGAATTACTTACTCTTACTTCTTGTGCGAATCAACCGCAGATCTTTATAATGTTGCGATAAATATCGCTGCCTTAGTTACTTTACCTTCCTCGTCGCAATTTCACGAAAAACACTTTGATGTTTTTAAAGACGAAATGGAATCCTCTGAAACTGGGAGAGTGATATACGGTATTATCTCGATACGGTAGCGGCAGGCAGTTTTTCTTTCTCAAGAGATGCGAGGTTTAAAGACAATTTAAAAAAAAAAAGAAGAACAGTTGTAGTTCCTAAACTATATCCGAAAAGATCACTTTAGTTTACATTTTTCTATAATATTACCTGTGGATTGTCATAGCTTTTTTTTGCATTTATAGATTCCTAATAGCGTGTATTGAACGGGAAGTAGGCTATAAATAATTTTACATTTAGATCTTAAGACTGATACCGCTAATTTTTCTCCATTCTTTTATCTAAACGAAAAATCAATGCAACCGACTTCTTCCAGTTCGTCATATGCAAGTTTATAGATAAGGTGTACAGCAAGATAGCACCGACGGTGATTCATAAGGATCCCTCGCTGTGGACAGACTTTGAAATTAACTTAATGAAAGCGGCATGTTCGGTGAACTATCAAGCGTGCTTGACGACGGTCCTCGACTACGTTCGAGAAATGCTTCGAAACGAGTCGTCGGTCTCGTACGTATCCAGCGATAGCCGTTCATCCTTTAAAACATTGTGCTTAAAACTGCTGCTGTGATAAAAGAAAAAAATATGTTAAACTAGTTTACCACAAGGATTTCGTAACTGGGCGTACTGCACAGTCATGAGAGTCGCTACGGAGAAACAATGGCTGGCACTCCTGGAAAGATACAACGAATCAGGGGTACATGATAAGGAAAGCCTCGCCTTCGCATTGGGATGTCATGCTGACGCGAGTCTGCTGGAAAGGTGAGATACGTTCCGGCATCGTCATGAAATAAACTTGCATATCAATTCTTAGTAGACACGTGCAGCATTAAATGTCAATTTCAATATTATTTTGAGAATTATAATTATTTAACTATATATATATATATATATATCACAATTTCTTTATTGCATGTTATAAATAATTGCTTCCAGATATCTGTATATAATATATTCACAACAGAATATAGAGTCTAAATACGTAAACACAGCTCTGGAGTCCATTGCGTTGAATCCATATGGATATCACGTTGCAATACAGTTCATAACTCAACATTGGAATAAGTTTAACGCAAACGCAACAGACGGAAGTAATAATTAGTAAGTTAAATGAAATTGACAATTGACAATAAGACGATTGTTCAATTTTCAATTGTTGAAGAAATAATTATTAAAAAATTAAATGAATATTGATTATCTTTTGTATGATCTGTCCGACTACTATTGTCTGACACTCGCTACGACATTTTCATTGCTGTACTTCCAGCGCAAATGTTACCTTGACCGATGTATTGGATGCCTTCTCAAGACGCATTCATCAAGAAGAGGATGTGGAATGGGTAAGAAAATTGCGCGAGTAGTGAAACTTAATAAGAATCGAAAAGTGAACGATAACTTCCTCTGAATATCTATATATATATATTTTGTTCTGATGTTAAAAGTGTCGAATCATTATATAACGGTCGCCTTCTTTTTTTTCTCTTCAGCTACTACAACTGAAAGGCAAGAGTGAGAAGTACGACGCCGTGATCGGGATGGTTATTAATAGAGTCCAGACCAATGTCGCACGGTATAAAAAGGAGAAAAATGAGGTGACTGTCGAGTCTCAAAAAGTGAAACGGGCTTTGCACAGAGAAAACGTTTCACTATGGAATCATTCGGTTCTCGCATTTAAAATCTGCACGTTTTTGTATACTGTTTTCTTAATTGATAATTAACTTAATCTAATGTGTATTATAGTTAATATCAATTTTATTTAAATGACAAACAAAGAGAAAAGGAATATGAGATAAAATTCGATCCATTCATTATGCGGCCTTTAATGTTGTCAGTTAAAAAAGAATACGTAATATATTTGTAAACTGTTAAGATTTAATTTTCCAATCCTTTTTCTACAGATATTGAAGATACTAGAAGAAATTTCTGTGAGATATACCGAGACAAAAAATTGCCAAAAACAAAATTAATGGAAATATGTGCATTGAAAGATTCATTTAAATCAGCACACCTATATGCGATTACTCAACATAAATAAAATAATTACAAATAATTATAGTACAATCAGCTTCTACAGACTGTGATGACGTTGCAATCAAAAACTAACTTCTTACTTTACTAACTTCTATCAGTTTTTGTTTATTAATAAAGATACAATAATTTAACGAAAAAATATACATTTTTTATAGGATCAGATAAAGAAAATTTCTAAAGAATGATGTGCTATTATTTTCTCCCTCCCTCTCCCTCCTCAACTCCAAGCAGCAAATAAATAAATAGATTAAAAAACAAAGCATTATATATTATAATAATATTAATAATGCATCAGATATTCCGAAATTAGAGGTAATCCAATTAAGAAAATAACATTTCTCGTTTCTACCTTTTTTTTTTCATTTGAAATTATCTCTTGAATTATCGAGCTAAGATTGAAGATAAGCTTTCAATATAGCATAAAAGCAGTCATCGATACTAACATAAGACGCGGATGCTGCGATGACATCGGAGTATGTATTGTCGGCACATCCCTCGGGGGATACGAGGGAGCTCGAGAGAAGTTCTTGCCGCGAAAAGTGACGGCGGTACCCCGGTCCTAACCGGACAGTAACGAGTCGGGCTTTCGTGTGGTCGGAGAATGCTGCTAAGTAAGGGATTGATTCACGGGCGGTTATAATACCGCCAAACCGAAGAGCCCTAATAGATTCAGGTCAATGCCACTACCGTTCTTCGAAGTCGTTTATTATGTGGGAAGAGCGGGCCCCGTTCTCATGCCACACAGGTCGCCGGTAACTTGTATGCGCAGCGCGGACTCCATGTCGAGAGAGGATTCGTTGCACCACCGAGAACCCAAAGTCAAGATAGAAAGATCCTTTAAGAGGACCTTTTCCTTTGCGCGATACCTTCTTTTATTTTGCATATGTCTCGATGCAGTTTATTGAAATAAAGTGTGCTCTATTAATTATTTCTTCATATATACATATTTATATGTATATTATATGTAATATAAATATTATATATATATATATATATATATATATAATTAATTACATTATATAAGAAAAATATGTACACTAAAAATTAAATAAAAAATCATTAAACGTGATCAGATTAATATGATTAATTTAAATTATCTATTAATTTATTTTTATAGTTACAAATTTTCATGTTTTTTTGTTATTACAGTAAGTTTAATTTTTTTAAATAAATAAAAATTATTTGTAATTTTATTGTCCAATTTCCTTTTGGAAATACTAATAGCTCATTCTCTTTGTCAATCAAAATTAGAAGTTTGCCAAGGGAAGTTGATTGGTATAACTTTCTCACGCCTAAATAGTTACCCTTTGGAAAAAGAATCTCACGCTAAGTTGTTTTGACCGGCATAGTTACACGAGCGGTGTTCAACTTCATTTTTGAAGAATGTTTCTAGTATAGGTCACGTAAGATGTAAACAGCGATCGAGTTATGGATTAATGTGAATATACGGCCCATTCATATATATACAAACAATACGAAACATCGATACCATTTTTGCACGTATAAAATATAAAATAGAAATAAAATTAATGTATATACTTAATATTTAATACACATTAAAATTCGTATATAGATACTTGCGATAGTAAGAGCCGTGTGCTAAAAAAATAACTCAATTCCTTCGAATATATTTTTTAAAACTTTCAGTATAAACCTGGTACAAAAAATTATTTACACTATTAAAATAAATAATATAAATAAAAACTTATATATATATAAATATATTAAAAAAAAAAATGTTTAAGATAAAAGAGCATAGAATTCTTTTTCCACAATTAACATATGTAAAGTTATAAGAAACGAGCACGGTTGGGAGATTAAAGAAGGAACCCTCTTCCCTCGAAAAAGGGGGTCAAAGAGCGCTACCGTGTCTCCGAATGCGACAGGGCCGCGCAAAAGAAAGAAAGAAAGAAAGAAAGAAAGGAATAGGAAGGAAGTTATCGTCGCGTCGGTTCAGCGAACGCGTTCCCTGCACGTGTGCTCCTTGCTTCGAGCGCGAGCCAGGACCCTTCCTGAAGTTAATGATTCGGTCATTGCGATGGGTGGCGGTGGCGGTGGAGAGTGGTGGAAACGAAGTGGTGTGGGCCCCGGCGTGTAGAGTAGGAGAAGAGTGCGCCAGGAGGGCGAGAGCAGGAGAGAAGGAGGATCGGACTGCACAGGAAAGTAAGCCTGATCCCAGTTCGAACGCTTCGGTTCGGTCTTACGGATTTAGTCTTGTTCACCGGCGGATTGTTACCGTGGCTGGTCGCGGCAGGATACATCGGGAGATATAAATACACCCCCGAGAGGGCGAGGAATCGTATACGGCACCGCGTAGCTGTTATCGCGTTAGCGAGAGCGAGCGGGCTGGCGCCATGCACCACCGTTCGCGTCTCCTCTAATAAGGGCGAGCGTCATTACGCGGTGCGTACCGAAAAGCGCGCTCTGAGCATCCCTTCCGGTCTTCCGAGGAGGTGATCATCCTCGATTGTTCATTCGAGGGGAGGAGATCCGCGAGATAGGAAAATCACGAGTCGAGAGCTAGGCTGCTCCCGGAAGACCATCGGCAATTCGATGCCGCACGCCGGTAATCCGACGTCCGCTACAGCCGCGAGGATAAGGCGGAGGCAGCTACCGACCACCCTCAAAAGTACGTATGGGGGACATGGGGGTGTAAAATGAAGACTATGTGTGATGTATATTTACAGTAACGTTTTACCACTCAATGAAGGCTAGAAATAGAAATGTCAATCAATTTGTATACTCTATTATTAATTTGATTTATATATCTTGCTATAACTTCATTTTAAAAAACTACATCCAATCAAGTGCATTAAGCATTAAGACTATCATCGACCTATTTGGAGTTAATTTTTTAAACAATTTTTTAAAATATTTTATTTTAATTTTCTTAATTGTAACGTTAAAGAACTTACAAGGAGAGTTACCCAGGTGTCCGCCTCCGATTTCGATGAGCTTTTGATATGTTATTCTCTAGACAAAACCAAAAATTAAGCTACCGCAAATTCGTGCCCGATCGCACTTTTAAGGGGTGAAACACCCCTTAGAAAAAAATCGGTTTTTTCATTTCAATGCGAATATCGTCGAAACTAGGAGAGATAGAAAAAAATGTTCCGAATAAAAGTTGAATGGCTTTAAGAGTACTTTATAATTATAATTTAAAATAATTTTTTATTGTTGATGGTGGGAGTAAACAAAAAAATTAACAATAAAAAAATTATTTTAAATTATAATTATAAAGTACTCTTAAAGCCATTCAACTTTTATTCGGAACATTTTTTTCTATCTCTCCTAGTTTCGACGATATTCGCATTGAAATAAAAAAACCGATTTTTTTCTAAGGGGTGTTTCACCCCTTAAAAGTGCGATCGGGCACGAATTTGCGGTAGCTTAATTCTTGGTTTTGTCTGGAGAATAACATATCAAAAGCTCATCAAAATTGGAGGGGTCACCTGGGTAACTCTCCTTGTTAGCCATATAGTTTCCAAGTTACAAGCCATTGAAAAAAAAAAAACAAATAAAAGCCACATACAAATTTTTGTTCCAAGATATAAAGGAAGAATTTAAAAAATAAAAATGTACCATGATGTGAGACATATAAGACATTTCGCGTATTCGCAAAAAGTTAAAGTGGATTGACAAGAACCACTTGCAGACGCTGGTCTTGAAGAAGTACCGTTTTAATTCAAAGATTCTCGATAATATATAGCTTTGAGAAGTATTCCATTTATTGCAAAAAAATTGAAAGGTAACGATTAAAAAGTTAAATTGCGGATTAAACTTGTCATAAAATGTTTTTATTTTTTTTTATTGTAAAATTATTAATTTAACCTGCGATCTAACTTTTCTAACTAAAAAAAATTTATTTAGAATATCATGTAGTAATAAATATAGAACATACGTTGTATAATAATTTAATAAAATCGTATTTTTAAAAATCTTAAAGAATATTAATCGTATTCATAAAAATCTTAAAAACCGTAAACTTTTATCAAAATGCACATTTTTTTGTAGGTAAATATACATAGATTCTTATACTGTTTCTTCTAATTATAAATAATAAAAACATATGTCCAGTAATTAAAAACATATATTTCTTTCAATAATAATAATAATTTTGTATATAACGTTTAACTTTATTATTAATTCATTTACTACGCTAATGCGCAATATTTGCAAAAAGCAATAAGACTAAGTACTCCTTTCCCTTCCCCGGAAATCAAATGATATATGTATTCTGAAATGCATGACGCACTTTCTCGCGAAAAGCATTGAGATAAGCATAATGAGTAAGGAGAACGTTAAGGAAAATTCCCGATTGAATTATTGCTAAAAAGTAAATCCAGTATTAAGGATTGAGTATGCGAGTTATAGGTTTTTGCTCTAATCATTCTTCTCGGATTAAAAAAATTTTTTAATAAAATTAATAATAATCCTTTCCTCGTTGACCAAAAAATTAGCGTTGAATCAATCTTAGCTTTTGTTTGTTGAGTTTTAGCTTTTGCAGATAATATTACAATAATAAATTTTTCTCTTATCAAGTCAAGGCAATCTAATGAGAATTAATTATGATAAGTTGGGACTGTTAGGAGTATCGTTCATGCTGGAGTTAAGCGTAAGCGCTTCGAGAGATCCGCGTTAATTAACGGGCCAGGATCAGGCCATTAAACGCGCGAATTGACAGCAGGCAAAAAATTAAGAAGTCGTTATGTTTCCGTTCGATTGTCGCTGGTAACCGGGGGCGACCCTTTCCTTTCTCCGCTCGTTTTCTTTTATAATCGGGAGGACGAGCACGTCCTTCTCGTTGAGAGCCGGGCATTGAAGTCACCGATAGACGCGGTTCTTTTTGACGATCGATGACGTAACATGTCGAGTCCGACGTATGTATTAAGATCACGGTGTTAATTATTTATCGACAAATTTGGAAAAAAAACCTCTTAAAATAAGAGATAACAAATTACGAATTATGTTATAAGTATAGAGTAGGAATTGAAACTCATTTAAATATGAAAGATGAAATATTAATCCTCTTCTCATTAATCTCTCCATTATAATAGTATTATAATAATAATTAATGGAGCAATAATAAAGTAATTAATATAACTATTCTTAATATTAATTTAAATAACAAAACTATTACTATGATAATAATAAATTAAATAATTATTTAATATTCTTCTCATCTCTTTTCATGGATTTTTCTTATGTCCGTTCAGTGATATTCATGCAAGAGTCTCGAGACTCACAGTCTTTATTCCTTATCCGCTTTTCCGCTTATCCGCACAGACATGACCGATGCCCGATGCATCTTTCACTTTATTCCCCGTTGGCTCTCGCGTGATCTCCGTCGTGTCATTCCGGTCTCCGCATTTACGCGTACGGCGAAAAAGCAGATCGCGATCGCCTGCTGCCTTCTTGTCGACAAGCTCCAATCGGAATTCCGAAGAGGCGCGTGCAAGTAGCGTATGTCCCGCAATCGTAAGCGATTGAGCGAGCGAGCGAGCGAACGAGTACTTACTTTGCGACCGCATGAATCGTACTTTGGCTAAAATGAAGAAACAATCTCTTCGGGAGCGGGCGGTCGCGCGGTCGGCTCGTTCGCCCGGTGCGCCGCAAGTAAAAAAAAAGGACGAATTCCTAAGACGGACTAAATGGCGCTCGGGGCTATACCCAGCGGGTTGTATACTAACGGCATACATACGTATCGCGCTTCCTCGGAATTACCGTCGTGGGAGGTAATCGCCGATAGCGAGAGGCGAGATGTGCGAACGGCACGGGGGAAAGTGCAAAGGGCCGTTAAGTATCCAATTATTTGAGATTTGTTTGGTGTCTTACTATTTAATGGAAAAAAAGTTGTATGTCTCGTGCGAAAGTTAAACGTATATTATTATTGCATAACGAATTTCAACGGGAGCGTTTTTGTATAGACTTTTTATCCGGCTTAAAGATCACTACTTGGACGCGAGCCACCCGGAATGTATATTGATTATAACAAAGTCACACGTTTGCGTATTACAAATAAAGGAAAAAAAAAGAATAAGCCCGATAAAATTTCGCCCGCTGGGTGCGGAAGAGTTAATAAGACGATGTCTGCGTAGAATGGTGGCCGTGGTGGTGGTTGCTGCTACCAGGGTGTTTGGCATCGTGGACGCGACACGTCGAGGAGTACGACTCCATTAGAGTGGCCAGGTGCGACGCCCGATGCGGGGAGAATCATCCTGACGAGGTACGTAGGATGAGGACGCGTTGTACAAGCGAGATTATCTTACAAGTACTTGTATCACCGTCAATATTATTATATCAATGGTATGGTAATACTTGTTTCAACTAACACTGCGTTATATAATCCTATATATTATATTTATAAAATCTTTCTATATTATGTTATTGTAGATTTTTAATATAAAAAACTTAATAATTTTATTAACACATACAAAGTTCTTTTTTCCCCGATTACATCGAACGTTTCGTGTTCGCGCGCGTCAAAGACGCATTGGAAAAGCATTATTCGATTAAAAAACATTTGGAGAACGTAGTAGAAATTAATATTTCAGTTTGGAAGGATTAATGACAGGGTAGAATATTAGCATCGCACAAACACAATCATTATTCCTGAACAAGTCCCGATCGTTGTTGTTTGGCGCTTATGGCATCGACCCGCGCATCGCAATCAGGCGGAATAATCGCTTCGATTAATCAACGCGCTACATTGTACGCGCCGCTGTCCGAGTGGAGATCGATTTTAATTTCGATGGCCGATTCGACACTCGATAGCGCGTCGCTAAATAAACTGGTTCCCGCAACGCTTTGTCGCCTTCTTAAGAATCGCATCGATCGCGGCCGTCGTCGTCGATGATTCATCCGGGGCTTGTCCCAGGTTTTGCGGGTTCTCTCGCTCGCGTGTAATTAGTTATGCGAGTCCGAGCGTCCCTGAGTCCGCGCCCACTTGAATCTCATCGTCACGCTCGACGATTTATGAGGCACGCCGTGCCACCGGCCGTGGGACTTGACTTGGCACGATGCTAATTCGGCAGTCAACAACGGCGGATCGATAACATTGTATTTGGGTCATCTGCCCGAAGAAATACTTACCGTATCCTAAAACAAACGAGACGAGTTCCCCCCTCCCCTCCTCTCCCCGACGAGTTCTTTCACTAGTGGAAAATACGATTTCATTGATCGCGATCGTCCGTTGCGGCTTTCTTCCCGGATTACATTAGGGGTTTTTGGAAAAATTAATGTTAAAGTTATCTCGATTTATGAAGAGCACGCGGAGGAAAAGGTGTCTTGATCACGTTATCGGACTTAAACTGTACCCCCCCCCCTCCCTCCCTCCTCGATATCTGCAACAACACTCTGCGACTTTAAAACTGCGTATATGTGTTCACGTATCGGAAATGAAAATAACGTAAATTCACGATGTAGGTATAACGGGAGGGGTTAAAACCTTTTAATTGGCCAAATGCGATAACGCCACGAGTCGAGCTAGTACAAGAGTCGACAACATCCATTGACTTTTACCATGTAACTTCCCCAACGGAGCTCCGGCCGCGACGAACGGGGCGCTTTATTGCTGATTATATTTTTCACCGGCGTGTATACACACGTCATTACAAGCAAACGGCCTCGAAATGATTACGGAGAGTCGTTGACGGGGTGGAGGCGGGTTGCGAGAGAGGGCGAGGTGGGACGGTGGTGGACGAGGAGAGAGGAATGACGTAGAGATAGCCCCCGAGCTCTGACTGGCGGCCAGCAATAAAGTTCCGAAGTAATGGCCTATAAAAGAGTTTTGCGCCGCGCGCAACTCACTAAGTCCGGATGCGCGCGCGCATCTATGGCGCACTAGAAACGTATCTTCCGACATTATCGAAAACAGGTTCTTATCCCGAAGCACCGACGATCAATCTTCCCGATGGCACACGGCTGCATTCGCGCCGCCGCCGCCGCGCCGCAAGAGAGGAGCGCGGCGCGTCACTTCACTCCTCGCGGGAGCTCCTCGTCGGCGCAAGCCGCGTGCGAAGTAACGACGAGGCTTCCCGTTTCCGGCATCGATAGCGCGCGAAGGCGGCGAAATTAATTCCTATTGATGCCGCGGATGAATGTATGCCTGGCGCTAACAAACATCAAGTAGAAATAACAAAATGTGATAACGGAAGGATAACGTGTGTGCGAGAGCCATGGTAAATTCATAAGTCGTAAGATATATTGTACGTGTGTGACTTCACGTGGAAAGTAACACTTACGAATTATGGATTTACTTTATCCTTGCACATTCGTGCCTTCAGTTTATTCAAACCTAATTTATCTTAATGCATGATTATTGATAAGATTAATATATTATATTTTAATGATTTCAATTATTCGGCGAAAGTAAAGCACAATTAATATTCAAAATGTGTTCAAAAACTGCGCGTATATAATTCTAATTTTTTTTAAATTATTTTTAGAATAAAGTCAGAAATCTCTCTTTCTTCTATTTTATTAATTCTATTCTATTAAATTAAGATTAGCGCTCTTAATTTAATTTAGTTCCTGATTTGTGTTAAACTTTCAATTTTGCTTCCGCGAAGGCTCATTCGTTAATAGTTCGCGTGTCGATTAGTGCGTGAAGCGCGAAGTATTCAACGAAGTATTCACAAAGCATCATTCCCGTCGGGATATATTTTGCGCACGTTCCACCGGAATTTATTGCGCTGTATTTTTATCGTCGCATAACCCATAATCTTCCGCATTCTTTTAATAGCGTTTACTGTTGCCATAATTAACTAACGTAATCGCGACTGTCTAAACTTCGCTAACAATGTTTCCTCGTCAAATGTGAGTTCATGATGGCGGTGTCAGTCACACGCCGTCGTCTCATCGAATGCTAATTATTTATTGTTTAACAGTAAAAATACGGAAGAATTATACAAAAGAGATAAATAATTGCTATTTAATTATTAACTTTGTGTAATTAACTTTGTCAATACTGTCGTCAAAGTGGAATCCGCTAGTAACTTTGTGTGCTCCTGTTTATATAAAAAAACATAGAAGAGATTGGAAGGGGAAGATAAAAACGTAATTGTTTACTGTGATTACAATTAACTTCATTAGCATAACTACCTTGTGAAATTTTATTTTGAAAGTAACGTTTAATGAGCAGACCATGAATTCTTCGGTATCAAAGCGGCGCGGGCGCGGCGGCGTCTTTTATAGAGTGTTGATGGAAAAAAGATAAACCACCGGCGCTATAACAATCGACTTCGTTAGCGCGATCGTTATATTGCGCGGGGGACTCTACCGGAAACTCTGCACTGTTCGGGCCGATCAAATGCAACTTCTACGCGCGACGTCGCGGCGCGCCGCCACGTCGTGCCGGTTTCGATTGTTAATTATCGGTGTCGTTTGCGGGGAGGAGAAAGAATAAGTGCGAAGAAACGAAGAGAAAGAGGAGGACGAAGGGGCGGAAGGGAAACGATGCTCTGCTGAATCGCCAATGGGCAATATAATTTTCTTAACGACGCGGCGATCGGCGGCCCCGGCCAATTCTCGCGATGAACTTCGATGGAGAAGGCCGCCTCGACTATACCGATCTTAATGAATACTTCAAACTGCGATCTTCGCGAAGTCTTTAATTGGGGTAGTCCACCGATGCAAGAAAAAGATCGGGAGGCAGAGAGAGAGAGAGAGAGAGAGAGAGAGAGAGAGAGAGAGAGAGAGAGAGAGAGAGAGAGAGAGAGAGAGAGAGAGAGAGA